GTTTGGGTTTTTTTTCAGCCCACTGCAGGGCTGCTGGTGTTGATACACACTTGGGAGGGCTGTCACTTTTCTGATTCAGTTTACTTTGCGGATTCTGAAGTTGTTTTCTTAAATCAAAATGCCTGTCTGAGCTGAGAATGCCTGAAGCATTCCTTACATCCAGCAGGGAATCTCCTTGCTGCGTGGAGTTTTGTCTGACACGCTCAAGACATTTCAGGTTCTTTTTGCAAATTATGCTGCTTGTGGTCCTGACATGAAAGCAGCGTGACTGATGCCACCACATGTGTAATATATGTAAGTATCCTTTATGCTTCTTGTATTTAACTTGCAAGCTTAAGCAGGAGCAGTCTGAGCTCTGTGCAACTTCTGCCCGTGAACCTTAGAAAATGTTTGGGTTTGGTTTGTTTTGTAGCTTGTTGATGCTGATCTGTGACAATACATTCATTTTTTTTTTTTTTTTTGTCTGGGGGAAAGTGTTCTACATGCAGCTTCTATTGCTTATTTTCTTCTGGTTGATTTTCCACATTCATTTCCCTGTATAAGATTTTGAGATGCGTTCAGGGCTAGTTATTAAATTGCTTCAAGCCCTCGAGTTTTTTTGTTTGATTGTTTGTTTGTTTGTTTTAATGAGCATTGTGTAGCAACATCATGAAAATGGGGGTGACAGACTGTCATTGAAACCCAATGTCAAGCCTCTGGAGACTGGCAAGAAGCCTTTTTGGAAGGATGAAGTGCTATTTCCTTTCCACTTACACTTTAGTCTGCTAACATTTGGCCAGCATTTGCCTTTATACTGTCTTGGACTAACTGGCTGGATGAGTTCTTAATCTCCACTCTACTTGTCTTTATTAACAGCTGCAGTGGATTGATTTACATAGGTTAAATGGTAGACCTCATTTGACTCCAGTAAAATGTTGCTTCTTAGGCACAATTATATTGTCAGAATTGTTACACGCAGTGAATAAATGAAGAACTGGGGAGGGAGGGCAGCAGGGAGAAAAAGGACAGAACTCTCATTAAATTTGCATTAAGAAGTCAAAAGCTATTTCTATATAAAATAGAAAGGATGAGCTCAGAAAGAGTGCATGGCAATGCTTTCCACAGGTCTGCTTTTTGCACTGGGGCTGGTTTATTGTCAATAAGTTTAACAACCTCCATCCTGTCACGTTCCGAAACGAATCGTGAAATCCCACGGAATTTCCTCGCAGATCCAGGCAATGTTTGAGTGGGGCCTCTTTACATGTTCCCCGTAGAATCTGATGGAGTTATTGAAGTGAGAGTGGGGAAGCGTGCAGCAGAGGATCCCTGGCATTCCCAGGCATGCTGGAGGCAGGCAGCACATTCCCAGGCTCCTGCCAGCACGTCTGTGATGGGTGAGGGCTGCCCACTGTATCTGCTGACCTCTCCTCTCTGTTGACTTGGAGGTTCTGTTTGGAACTGACAGCTGTAAGAGCTCAAGTGAGAAGTGTTGCCCTGCTGTTAATGCCTTCAGTGCTTGCTGCCAAGTACAGGGGAGAGAATGGAAAAATAACTCTTATTTGTTGCATCTTGAGGAAGTGTAGCCTTTGTGTGCAGGAAGATGGGATTTTCAATAGGCTTCTGTATCCCTTAAAACGTGTTTGAAGTGTCAAAGCTCTTTTGGGATCTGACCTGGCCATGGAATATCCCTTTAGCCACTTCGGGTCAGCTGTCCTGGCCATGCTCCCTCCCAGCTTCTTGTGCACCTCCTTGCTGGCAGAGCATGAGGAACTGAGAAGTCCTTGATTTAGATTGAGCACTTCTTAGCAACAACTAAAACATCAGTGTGTCATCAATATTATTCTCGTCATAAATCCAGAATACAGCACTGTACCACCTCCTAAGAGGAAAACTCTGTCTCAGGATGCCCCTCTACCTGACTTTGATTCTCTTTCTTTAATATGTGAATTGCTTGTTGAGTGGAGTTTAGTTCTGGGGTAGCTGGGATTAACTTTGGTCTTTTTTTATTGAAGGTTTATATTTAACTAATCTGGAAAATATTGAGGCAGTTATTGTTAAGGGACCAAATCACTGAATTCAGTGGATTAGACAGAAAATCACGAACTGCAATGATGCCTCACTATCCTCTGCAGAAATCAGGTGGTGTTTGACAGGAACAAGGGAAGAGATGGTGAGGGAGGAGATGTATAATAAAAGGATGCATAATAAAAATGCGTGTGAAAAGCGTGTGCAGCATCTGGAAACATTCAACCCCGGGAGAAACTGGTGATGAGGAATTCTGAGAGAGAACACAAGTGTTTGCTGAAGTGCTGCTCGTGTTCCCTGCACAGAAACCTGCCTGGCTGCCCCTCAGGCAGCAGCGTGCGCTGCTCCTGTTCCCACCCCGCGGGTTCTTCCCGGGACACGGCTGGTAACTCTGTGCAGGGGCTGATCCCCCACAGCTGCATCTCCCAGAACTCTCCTCCCAGAGTCCCAGCTGCAGGGGCTCACTGCTGCTCAGAGATGGCTCCAGTCAGCTCATTGAAACTGATATTTTTGGAATTTCCGAGCTGACAATAATTATGACCTGGATGGTTTCCAGAAGACATGGCCCGGTGAAGGAACTTGGCTAAAATCTGCGAGACTTTGGCTCAGTTTCTGGCTTTTGCCACCTGTTATTGTTCCAAAATCTGAGTCATTTATTCTTTGTACACTGAAGATATATACAAATACTTATTACAAATCCCTATTGCACGGACTGCAAGTGGAAAATCTCGCACCCAGGTTTTAGTTGGTGGCTTTCTGTCTTGTATTTCTTAGGCTGGAGGTGTGCCAGTAATTCCTGCTCCTGTTTCAGGTGATTCTTCATCGTTAAGGATTTAGTTGGAATGGGGAACATAGGTGGGCTTTATCCTGGTAAATGCAAAAGAACGCTGAGAGAAATTGCCACTGTGATGAACAGAGACATAAGGGAAAAGAAATAGGCTTGTAACTAAGGACCAATGATACTGGGATAGTTACTGCCCTAGCTGTATTCATTCTGGCAAATAACAGGATAAAATGTATTTTCTTCAGGTGAGGCTAACAGCCAGCCCAGCTGCTGTGTTACCTCCCATAAACTGTTTTTTATTCTGGAAAATTTAAGTAGGGTGTGAAAAACGCTGGCCTGGGTTGCCATCAATTACTCTTCCTCTCCTTTCACCTCCTCACCCCTCCATTTCAACTGGAAGTCCTTCTAATAACATTATTAAAACCTGGTAACTCGTGCCTGCTTGTTCCCCATTAAAGTCAGCTGAGCAGGATTGATTTGTAGCAATTGCAGATTGATCCATTAAAGTCAAATTCAAATCTGGCTTGACAAAAGCCTGCAGTTTGAAGGGTTTCAGAGCAGGTGGTGTAGCTTGTTTTCACCTTGTAAAGTGCAGAACAGACACCCCACGACACACAAGACAGGCAAGTGACTTTAGCCATCCATAGTTCACAGTGATTTATTTGCATATCCAGGGAACTGGATGTTATTATTGCTGATATTATAAAAATATTCACTGGTTTGATTGCCACCTTTGAAAATCCCGTGCTTGAGCTGAGGAATTCTTCTCACTGTGGCCCTCAGAAGTGTCTGGCATCTCACAGAGCCTGATGGCCACTTTTAATTGCACCCTGAACAAACAGACTCGACAAATGATAATTGCTGAGCTCCTGCTGTGCGAGATGAGAGCTGTATCTGCATCAGGAGGCTGAATATGCTGCGGTTTCTCATCTTGCTGGAGCGCATCTTGCTTTTTTCATCTTGCATTTAGTCAAGGGAGCGGCTTCCCACAGGTGATGAGATGTTCTGGTGCTGTACCACGATGGTGCTGGACCATGTCATTACCTGAGCTGCGCTGATTTTCACTCTGCTTTGTTTATGCTCAAATTAAGGATAAGACTGGCATTCCAGGTGTGGGCAGGCCTGCAGTAGCTTCTGCGGAATTAATTGATGTGAAATCGTCAATTATTTCAAATCACTCAAAAATGGGCCAGTTTTTGCCCACCTTAATGTAATTTTTTGGGGAAATATAACCAATGTTTTCAGGAGACAATGTCTAATGCCCACTGTAGAATGGAAAGGTTATAGATTGCCCATGACTCATTGCAACATTCATAAAGAATTGAAATTAAGATTGAATCTCTGACAACCACCTTTGTGAACTTGTGCAGCAGTGAAATAGTCAGAAATATCAGAGGATGCTGCTGTTTTTTCCTGAGCTGCATCTATTTTGCTTTGTGTGACCTGGTAAGCATTTCCAGTTTGACCTTTAACTGTATATTTGAGTTTTATTTACTGTTCCTCTTTTCCTGCTTGTATCGCTGTCTAAACACATAAAAGTACATTCCTGAGGCTGTAGTTAATACCTTGATCTTTAAGCATAAGTTACTTACTTTTTGACTTCCATCTGCATTTGTGGGTTGCCTCTCTCTGTAGCACAGAGATGCTCTACCCTAATTCTAAGCATTTGTATTAGAATCTGTTCATACACTTATGTTATAAATAGATGTGTATTAAAAGTAAAGTGAAATATGGGAATATAATAATGTATACATGAGTATACATGCCAGTTGTTGGGTTTTGCCCTGAAAATGCCTTCTGGACACTTAAATTTGACAGCATTTCTTCCTTTCTGGGAGTCAAGGCTCTTTCCCTTCCCAGCTGGAAGTGAGGTGAGGCAGCCAGGCAGGTCTGAGCTCTCTGTTACGTCCACAGGGTTTTTTTTATTGTTATTTTGGTAGGCACCAGGCCTGTGAAGCCAGGTCATCTCTCTTTGCTTGCACATCTTTAATCAGATCATCTCCTGAAAACATGTGGGTTTATGACAGAGCCGACTCTAATTGCAAGTTAATCTGCTGCTTCTGCACCTTCAGTGCCTCTGGCTCTGTGCCTCATATTGCTCTTAATAGTTTGTTAATACCAAATCATGCAAAAACACCGCTTCCTTAAGCACTTAATAGGATGTACTGTAACGGAGATAAATGGGCTGTAACACTCTTTACTTCTGTTTTAGGAAAATAAACTGAAAGATGCTGTGCAAGAAAAGAATCGCCTGAGCCTTCAATATGCAAGTGTGTCCCACAAAGCACTGCAATATGACCAGGTAACAGCACGAGCACAGGGCTCAGACAGTTTTTTTGTTATAAAAATCAGGCTGCTGAGAGGATACAAGTAGTTTTTTTCCTGGTTTCCTTGCTTCCACATGAAAATGTGAAAAAAAATTTAATTGAAAATAAATTATAGAAAATTACTTTATGAACAAATGGGATGTTCAAGTGAACATTCGAGACTCTGACAGACTTTAGAGAGGTGCATCATTCCTCTGAGTCATGTTTTCTTAGTATTGTAAATTGGTGTTAGGCTTTGGTAAAAGACTTTTTTGGTGATTCTGGTGAGATTTGATGTAAAATTCTCTGCTTTTTCTAAAAAATTTCTACATGTTAGTTGGGTTTTTTCCACCTACCCTTCTGCATTTTAAATTTATAATTTCTCAGTCAAATGTTGAAAAGCTCCTGTCCAGCAGCAAGCGCCCAGAACTCTGCTTGGCAGTATTCCCCCTGTGGCATGGACATGGCACAGCCTCAGCTGTTCCAGGTCCTGGTAGAAAAACTGTTTTAATAATTGTGCCTATAATGGACTAAAAAAGTCTCTTTCTGACTGCAGTGTGGTTACATTTATGGTGAATTCTGCACGGGGTGAGCAGCATGGGAGGGAGGAGAGGCCAGTGTGCCTCACCTCCCCACACATGCATTCAGGGGAAGAAACCTTACAAACCATCCCCTTTACAGGGCTACATTTAGCTAAAAATAAAACTCCAATCTGGGATTTCTACAGGGCTTAAGTGAGTTGCTGGGCAACCTCATTCATATCACCGGAGCCATTACTCGCATGGGCTCCGATGAAAGCCCGTCCCCCGAGCTTGCAAAGCGGTGGTCGCTGCAATCTTTGACATCTGAGTAACCCACTGCTGAATTTCCGAGCCAGAGGAGGTCTGGTGAGGTCCCTGAGGCCATGAAAATCATCCAAATTCAGGACTGGCTGTGCACTTAGTCCATGTTTTATGTGTAGCACCTGGTCCTGAAGACGACCTGACATTTCCTGCCGCTGACGAATTTGAATTGTTTTTATATGAAAAGGCAAAGTTATAATACTTAATGGTAGGAGGAAGCCATGTGTATCATAGCATCACTTAAATTTATTCATCCATCTGTCTACAGTTTCCCCATCTCCTGATGTGTTTCTCTTCTCTTTATTGTTGTTTACACATTACCTTTGCTCTTTACTTCACGAGGCCCATAAGATAAAGTCTCACTTGGGCAATTTTATATCCTAACTGAAACAGAATAATGCACAGCACTAATGCAATGAAGGCTCAGTACCTTGATGACACTAAAAATGTTAGTCCTCTTGCTGTCAGCAAGTGCAGAACTACATGGTTGATAATGCTTTATTATGGGTTATACTTGGCTTTAACTCTAGTGAAAAGCTTGAGGTACGTGGAAAAAAAAATCTAATAAAAGCAATTTAAAACATAAAGGTAAAATGTTAACCTTTGACACATTAGCCACTAAGATAGTAGTAAAATCGTCTTTTATCATGTCAGGATTTATCATACTGTGTGTATTTGTTTCTTCACATGCATTAAACACTATGAAAGACACAGTGCAACAACTCTGGATACCTGCACTGCTAACCTAATATCAGCTCAATACAACCAAAAACTTGGTTTAAGAGTACAATCTCACTTTTAACAATTTTAACAAGATGTAATCTTAGCAGTGTGCCCTGGTTGTTAACAAACCTTTTGTTTTCCTTCTTGCATAACAGCTTTTCTGAGGGTATTTTTACCACACACAATGAGGTTGAGGATAGATGGTGCAGTTTAGATTACATTTTACTGTTCAGAATGTGTGAAACTATACAGCTTTGGATGTGGAGGTTGGAGCAGAATTCTAACAGAGTTAGGGCTTAGCCCTGAAGGGGAAAACCTGCCTAAATTAATTTATTCTTTTTCACCCTTGAGAGCTGGCCTGAAAAACAGGCCAACTTTATCCAAGCAAAAGGGGCTGGAGGAGTGTTTATTCATTCTGTTATGTAGCACAGATAAAGCTGCTGCTCATTTTTGCACAATGAACTCACTGAAATGTGACTGTAGAAAGGAGTAAATATTAGGCTGGCTACCTATAAAACCACCACATAAAGCTGAAATTGTACATGATTCACATGGTTTGGTTTTGGTGCTCTGCCAGTGGTTTGAGAAACTGGGAGGTCTCTAACGCCTAGAATAAAGGCACATGGTGGTTAGAAGGCTCATGGAGCTTTCCACCAACAGAATAAACTGCTGACTCGTGGAGATGTTCTGTTTTTCAATAATCACTGTCTGTTTGAGTGTTCAGGAAGGGGAAGGCACTTCAGCAACGTCCTGGCCTTCACTGACTCCAGTGAGGGCACATTTAGTTAAGTGTGAAGATACAGGATACAGATTAAATTGGTTGATGCATTGAACAGAGAAACACCACAGATCAAAATGTTCCCTGTTTCTGTCATGAAATTAGAGCTGTTTCTGATGGCACTCTATTTAGGTCAACTGTTTTTGCCACTGGGAACATTGATGTTTTGATACGCTCTGTGAGTAATTCAAGTTCATGTATATCCCATATGTTCTTAAGCAGCCTGCATGGAGAGAGCATTAAATTCACATTCAAGAACAAATGTTGTCTAAAAAAAAAATTAAAAAAAATAATTATAGTCTTGTCAAGTTTTGTGATGCCTTATGGGTTATATAAATGTGTATGTCACAGCATTCTACGTGATACACGATCTTCAGATGAGAAAGTTCTGGCAAGACTGTCCTGTAGAAACATTAAAAGATATCAGAGTTTCTGGAAGTAACAAGAGTAATTATCAGGAGGTCTTTGGTAGATTTGGTTCCATTCTTCCCAATCCACAAAATTAAAACAGACACAGAACCTCGTTCAAAAGCTGAGCTGCCTGAAGAGAAAGAAGAGAAATTACCAGAACCAGTTGTGTGTTCCTAAACTTTAACTAATTTAGGTAGGCACTTTGAGATCCTAAATGAAAGATCCTGAGAGGTGTAAAATATCTGCAGTTCTTCCTGTCTCTAATCCATCTCCTTCCAAAATTCCATCAGCAGCCTGATAAGTACTGTTTGTTCTGACAGCCCTGCCAGCAGGGAAAAGCACAGAGCTGAAAGGTACCCTGCTCACCAGCTCCCCAAAATTATTCACAATATGATGACTAGGAAGTTTTATAAAATTCTCCTCAAAGGTGGCCAGTTGTATGAATTGCTTTGGAGACAGGAAAAACTAAAGCCTGAGGAAAACAGGCTTTTTTTTCCTTGAAACTTGTTCCAAAATATTGTACTTCATTAATCCTCAGTAAATTAACTGAGAATCACAGTCAGTAACAAAATTGCATCATTGATACTGATACCTCATTGTTTCTTTTTTTCACTCCATTATTCTTCACTGACTGATCTGAGCAAAGGAATATAATGCAAAGGATGCAGGAAGTGAATAGATCCTGAAAAATCCATTGTTTAATAGTTTCCTTAGTTAGAAAGAAGTGAGGGGAGAGAAAAAGGAAAAAAAAAATCCTGAGGTTGACAATAATTGCATCAGTTCTTGTGGAAAACATGATTTGTTCCATTTTCCTCTCTTTTTTTCTAGTCCACTGCACTCCAAAGAGCCCTGCTGCAAAGCTGAATACGAGGGCTGGCTGCAACCATTTAGATTGTTTGGTCCATGGCAAAATTTGCAAGTTAACAAACTGGAGCCAGAAGGCAAATAAAGAAGGCTGAATCAGCTTCCAAAACACAGCTTTAGAAAATGTCCAGGAGATATCCACGGCAGCGATTGCTTAATGCCATTTGTAAAAAAAAAAAAAAAAAAGAAAAAAAAGAAAAAAAAATTACAGTGATTAGAGCGGAAAAAAAAAAAAACTCAAAGGAACTTGTCACTTCCTAAACTGGAGCTGGAAGGAAACATGAGCTGCACCAAGATTAGGGCCTGTGCCAGTCCATTGTACTGGTTTGCCTTTCCCTGGCCAGTAACTCTGCCAGCCTTGTTTATGCTCCAGTGCAGTGTTGCAGCAACAAAGAACAGCTGATTCTGGCAACGCTGCTCACTGAAAATATTACTGCTCTGTCTTTTGCTTTCTTGCCTTCTATCAGCACTGCAGGGAAGTGGAAATAGTACGTGAACACCATGTTTGTTCTTTTTTACCCAGGTGTTTATTTCTGCTGGGTTTTTGTCCTTAATGTAAAAATTGCAGTTTCTGATAAGACACAAGCTGTAAGAATCCTATTGTTGTACATCAACATGTCTCAAAGTCATAAAATGACCAGGGATAAGAAATCAAATTTTCAGCTGATTTGAAGAGAGAACTTTTCCATGGCAGGATAAAGTAATTCAGTATATTTTCTTGCTTTCTGTGTGTGTTTATGAAGTGGTCACTGTCACTGATGATTCACAAAATCCTGTATAAAAACACTGGATTGGTCTGAAATGGTTAAGATAGCACCAAGTAATTTAAATCATAAAACAAATCCTACTTTATGAGTATCTGATCCTTTAAATACCTTCTGTATGGAAATATTTTAAGGGAGAGCAGGGGAGTTGTTGCAGAAGAACACCTGTTTTTGAATTGGAGAGACATTGATTTCAAGTGTTAACACAGGCTGATCATGTATATTTGAGTTTATTCTGAAGTAATTTTACACTAAATAAGAGTCCAGAAGAAATGTACATGTGAGTTATATTTATACATTTGTGTTAGATCTCTTGTCTCTTTTTATAGCACAACCATCTCTGATGCCTCTGAGATCCAGAGAATGTAGAAATTTTTTGACTGTCATTCATTTTGGGCCTTGTGTTGTATATTTATTTAAATTTACATGACTTATGCATAAGTACACTTTGGTTGCCAGATTGTAGTCCTTGTTGAAAAAAACTGTTCCATGCATACATGTATATGAACATTCCCTTTTGGGGTTTTTGTGCTTCTTTCCTATTCTCTTTGAACTTTTTTTTTTTTTCCTTTCTTCATTTTTACCATGCAGAAATATTTGTGTCAGACAGAGTTTTCCCTTCATTTATTAGGTTTTGGGGCAATAATCACATTTAATTTGTTCTAGGTAAAATCAGACTATGACCATCTTCGAGAAACCCTTCTCAGAGTGACCAAAGAACGAGATTTGGCTGTAAAGGGAAAACACCAGCTCCAAGCCAAGCTGGAGAACTTAGAGCAGGTCCTAAAGGTATGTGCAATGGCATGAAGTCTCAACAACCCAGTACTTCTATTGCTTGTTTATTGTTCCTGATGCTTATTCAGGGAGCCACAGAAACAAAGGACACATAACTCAGGGACTGAATGCCCCTATTAGTTATGATAGAATGTATGGAGTGCAGTAAACCAAATACTGACAAGGGATCTCAAACCATCAGAGGAGAGACATCTTTAGAGGCCTTTATCTCATAGTTTATAAGTAATTGGATGTAGATTTTCACTATACAGTTATTTAAGTCAAAATGAGAGAAAGAGGATGAGGATATGAACAACTGCCAAGATATTTTACTTTAGAGACAGCTGTGTCTGCCAGTCTGGCTACAAAACATTACTGTGGCCTTTACATTCTGTAAATCTCAGTGTTCTGTTTAAGATCTTCTTCAAAAATTTTCCCTTCACTGAAACAAAAGTTCTCTACTGGATCTCTACAGAGATCCTGGCTTTCCATGTTCAGTACTTTTCTCCCTTTGCCTTGAGCGGACTTGAAACCTCCCAGCTCCGTTTTAGCCCTAAACTGTGCCCGAGCAGACTCAGTTAATCAGGTTTTTCATGTGTGTCCTCATATGCTCTGGAAATTACTGGTTTGAAAACATGGTTTGCAGCTTTTCCCAGCCATTGAAAAAAAAAAGTTCTGAGGAATATTTAGCCCAGTTTCCCCGTCTGAAAAGAAGTTGGGTTTCTCTTTTGAGAAATTCAGGATGTATCAACAAAGCTGAAAGGACGGAGAACTGCTGAATTAGCCAGCTCCTGAAAATTTCCACAGCTCCTCTCACGTAGAAGAGTCCTGATTTTCTGCTGTGTGCAGCCAGCTTTTCCCATTCATCCCTCTGTAATGGTGCTCACCCATCTGCGAGTGCAGATGAGAAGTCTTTTGATAAGGCTCCTTGGGTGAGAATTGAATTTTGCTCCCCATTCAGCGCCGTGCACGAGTTCTGTTTGGTAAACAAGACTTGGGCACTTGAAAGCTGTTGGAGTTTGTTCTTGCATCAACCAGTTGCACGTTTTGGGACTGCAGAGTCACTTCTGTAGGGAAGAACGGGGTCCTTTGTTTTCTCTGCAGCTGTAGGGACACACTGCAGCAGCTGGAGCCAGGATGGGCAATTCGTTGTCAAATCCCCCTGCTGCCCTGGAGGAAGCAGGAAAAACAAGAAGCATTTAAGCAGGTTCCTTTAAGTGCTGTTTCAGAAACAGTTTATGCTATACAACTGTCTGGCTCTGTAGTTTGAAATAAAGCTGATAAATGTAGTGTCCCTGTGCTGCAGGATTCTTACCTTTGATCTGAAATATCCACTGGAGAGGTTCCTTCTGCACACTTTCTTGGAAGGGCAGAGCCTTGTTTGACAACTGTGTTGAAATAGGAAGTCCCTCCTGTATTTTTTTCTGTGCTCTTTTAAATGTGGTTTTGCCTTCTGATGTTAGAGTAGCATTATTGGGACCTCTAGAAAGAGTGCAAAAGGGAAGTGTAAATTGGAAAGTTCTGACCTGCCCGGACCTTGGCAGTGTGACCAGATCATTAAATACATATTTTAGGAAACAGGGAAACTAAAAGCTGTGGAGAATCACAGATCATGGCTAACAATCTGTTTCTTTATTGCATTTTATAGATTCACTCTATGGTCACAGTATTAATTATTTATTGATCTTTGCAAAGGACCAGAAATATTCTGTAGTAGCTTTTGTAAAAGTAGCAAGAACTTAACAGTGTCAAAATATGCTGTACCAAATCTGGTGCTGAATCCTGAGAGAGAGAAGTGAGACTTTTTTGTGATAATTAATGGTTTTAATTAGAGGTGTGAGAATGACTTGATTGCCTCACCGTTTCTTGAATTTAAGAAATGTGCTGATGCTCCATTGGTGTCAAGTTTTGCATAAGCTGTGATGGAAGCTGCTGAGCTCAGTAAATGTAGCTTTTTTTTTTTTTTTTTTTTTAAATGCTAATTTAAATCATGAGTAAGACCAGTTAGCAAAATAGGTTATGTTTATTCAGAAAAGATGAGAATCAGAGCCATTATTTTTGGTCATTACAATATACTGATAATAGATATTACCCAGGAACAGATCCACTTAACTTTTGTACAGGATGCACGGTTCAGAAATGTATACAGTCAAAATACTGAATCCTCACAAAACTCCTAGGAAACAAACCATAGTTGAGGGTCAAAACTGATGAATTGGAAAACCTTTTCATTGTTGTTAATCAAACGAAAATAAATAAATCCCAAGCAGAGGCCAAATGGAGTGTTGGAGACATTTCTGCTTCCTTTGCAAACATATCCAGATTGAGAGACATCAGCCCCCCCTGGGCTGTCCCTCTTTGTTATGAGTACCATGTAGCAGATGATAACAGCTCATGAAAGGTTAGAAATACGCTGGATAAAATTTTCTCTTGTACACAATAGGAGATATTTGGGGCTGTTCTTGTCAATTTTAGCCACGCATTTGTGTTTCCAAGTGCTGATTTCTAATAGGTTGGTGTATAATAACTCATGGTGCTGCAGATAAGATGTTGTGCCTCTGCTCTGAGAGTAATATGGGAATAATATGTAATTTGGAAAATAAAAATCTTCAATACCAGTGTCACCAGAGAAGAGATCAGAATCTAGAAAGAGATCTTTCTTAACTCCCATTTATTAAGAGGGTGTTTGAAAGTGACAGTGATGTTGGGAGAATAATATTAACCCGTAATGAAAAAGATTTCTATCTGCAAAGGGTGTCTTGACATTGTTCAGCTTGTGCTCTTCCCAAGAACCTCTCTCATATTGCTTTGAATCATTAGCAGAAAATGTACTTTAAAAGTTGTTTATGAGTACTGTATGGTCCCTTTTGTCCAAATCCACCTGTGTCGGTTTTGTTCCCTCTAATTAGCTACAGATAATAGGCAGAGATCAGCAAAGGTAAGCTATTTCTTTTGGGTCATCATTTGCAAAACAAATGACAGAAGCATACCCTGGATAAGGAGGCATTTAGGGAATTGTCACGGCGATTTTTTTTTTCCCAGGCTTTGACTTTTCAGCACAATGCGGCATAAAAACGTGTGCCTGACGGGTGAGATGGGTCCTGTTCACTTGTGCAGCACCGAGGCCACGCTGCTGGCAGTGCCACAGTGGTACATCCTGAAGGAGATTGCTGTCAACGTGCAATTTGGTGAATTTGGCAATTCACCTCTGAGTACCGACCCCATCAAAACCCTATCCCGTCTCCCGCTTGCCTCTGGGTGATATCCCAGAGAGTTTTTATGCTGAGATGGAACATCTCCATCCCTGGGGATGGCGGCAGATTTGGCTGCAGGTGGGGTGGGTTCAAGTCTCCTGATGGTTTTCCCTGTTCCCTTGAAACAGCATATGCGAGAGGCTGCTGAACGGCGGCAACAGCTGGAGTTGGAGCATGAGCAAGCCTTGGCTGTCCTCAACGCCAAACAGCAGGAAATTGAGCTCCTGCAGAAGGTAAGGGGAGGCAGGGAAAGCCAGGAGGAATCCCAGGCTGCAGGGACAGAGTAAATGGCGTGAAATGGAGCTGCTGGTCTGGAGAACTTAAACGCCGACCGCCAAGCTGGTTCCCGTTGCGGATCGTTCTGTGTGAACGTTCTGGGAAGAAGGGAGGGGTGGGGGGAAGGTGTTTGTAAGATTTGATTTCATTTCTCATTACCCTGCTCTGATTTGATTGTTAACAAATTAAACTGATTTTCCCTGAGTCTGTTTTGCCCATGACAGTGATTCCTGAGGGACCTCTCCCTGTCCTTACCTGGACCCAGGAGACTTTTGCTGTATTTTCTCTCCCCTGCCCAGCTGAGGAGGGGAGTGATGGAGCAGCTTTAGTGGGCACCTGGTGTCCAGCCAGGGTCAGCCCACCACAATGAACTAAACAGTTTTTAAGTACCTCATTTCCAAGGTCATTCTCTAATTCACAAATCACTTTAAGACCTTTTTTTTTTTTTCTCTTTTCCACACTGCAATTTCTCAGTATTCATTATGATACAAAATACACGATATTGAGTTTCAATCTTACCAAAGTCACTTAAAGCTGCAATTGTCTCAGTGCTAATGTTGGTTTTTCCAATTGCTGGACTAGATTGAAACACGGAAATAATAGTACTAATGATAATTTGGTAGAGAATTGGCAGGGAGGGACATTCTCAGCAGAATAAAAAATGTTTCTAATGTAGTTTGCTTGAAATAGAAAACTGCAGTTGACCAAATGAAATCTTCCCGTTAATTTTCTTTTAGTCTTTCTCAATTAACTGACTTAGGCACATTTGAAAATGCCATTTCTAGTTATATTCAGCTGTTATTATTAGAACTTCCTCATAAATTTTGGACTTAGAAATTTAAGTCCTGGCAAGGCAAACAAATCAAAGAAAGATACAGCAGTTCTTGCTAATTTTTGTTGCATTCATCTAACAAAACCACGTTTGGTTTGGCATCAGGGGGCAAATCTCTGTGCTAGTCTTTTCTCCAGTCACTTTTGCTAAGCTGCAGCAAGACAGATGTCAAGCACAAAGGAGGTTATGTTGTATTTGGTATTTTACTCAATGCAACTGGCTCAGCATCTGCAGCCAGTGCTTAATTTCTTATTAAATTCAGTGGACCTGAAGCAAGAAGACCTCCCAACGTCCCTGGTACGTGTGTGTTAGATTATTTCTTCCCTTCTCTTTTGTTAGAGTCATGAAATTACTTGAGAAAGTTCTTGTGAAATGAAAGTAGTAACTCTGGGCAGTAACAGGATGGCATTTCATGGCACATCTTGTTACCCTTGTAAAGCTGCTGCTGAACCACCAAAACGGGCACTGCAAAGCCAAGCAAGTTGCTGGTACAGCCCCATGCATTTGCTATCACATTTTCAATGTAAATAAAGGTTTGTTGTCTTTTTAATATAAATCCAGGCTTTTCAGGTCAGATTTTTTCAGCCTAGAAGTGAGAATACAATATTGCTCATCACCATTTTGTGCTGATGGGGAATCAGATGGTCCTTTTTCTTTTAAGGAAACCTTAATACAGGGCAGCTGGATGTGAAAGAGAGATAGCTATTGATGCAGGTCTTCTAATCATTTATCCAGAACTCATATTCTGGGTAGATTTTATTAAACTTGTAATGATGGATGACTCAAGGCTTTCTATTACCTGTTATCACATGTTTGCTGATGCTGGTGGAGCCAATATTTATCGAGTGCTAGCAGTAAGACTTATTACTGTAGTCCAGGAAGAAATATGACTGTGCTGGCAGGATTGAAGGAGGCTTTATTATCCTGCATGACAGTGAAGTATAGTTTGGGTGGATGTTCTGGTTGTGACTTTATGGCCTGACCCAGCTTCCACTGAAACCAGTGAAGGAGTAGGGTAGCCCTTAGAGGTGAGGGGAATGAAGTTCAAATTGCTGTGTCTGTGTCCATCCTGTGGGTTGTCCATCATTGCCCTCTGCCAGACAGGAGGGTGGCAAGACTTTTCTATGGCTAGGAATGTGCAGAATGGTACAATGGTTAACAAAACTTGTGCTCATCTGGGGCAAGCTTCAGTGAAGGAGGTACTGAAACCTTAAATGGAAATAAAGTGAGGGTAACACCAAGTTTCTGTTTTTTGGTTTTAAGGTTTAGACTTTGCCCGACCACGATTTGATAAGTGAATTTCTGAGCCACATAAAATACTGTTCTGCTCTTATTTATTCCCTCTTTTTGTCTTTGACCCAGTTGATTGGACCCTAAATGTTGCACTGCTGTTTTCAGCCAGCCTGTCTTGAGGTGTTTTGTGAGCTATTTGCTTTGATGATAAATACTGATGCTTCATTAAAAGAAAGAGCTTAATTTTTGTGTTGCTTTCTCCTACCTGATACTGAAGGTTTCTACATTATGAACCTCCTCAATGCCAAACTCCATTTCAGTTTTAGTTTAGAGGGTTTCAGAGATACTTATGGTGTGATCTTGCAGTGTGTTGTGCCTGCTCGTGTAGGTCCAGCAAAATACCAATGCTATTAAGCTTCCCTGAGATTCAATCTCCTAAAAATAAGCAGTTATTTCAGAGGCTTGGAGCCCAAGTGCTGGAGTAATACTGGCAGAGCCACCCCTTCCAGACTGTAATTGGCTCTGGATTTGTGTATACAGTATGCTACTTCATGTGCTTGGAGCATATTATATGTGGCATGACTAATGATTTTCCCTTTTCCTCCTTTTTTTCTCTTTTTCTTTTTTCCTTTTCCTTTTTTTCCTTTTCCATAAAAACAAGGCTCAGGTTGAAGCTAAGAAGGAACATGAGGGAGCAGTTCAGTTGCTAGAGGTAAGATTCTCTGTGTTACCTTTGCCTGTTCAGGTTCCCTTCTGAATGTGATAACTGTACAGTATCATCACTTCTGAAAGTTCCAAGCTATATGTAGGCAAACAGATTTTTTATTTTTTTTTAATCTTCTAATATAATTGCAGCCTCTAAGATTTGTAATTCAGTTAGGAGTGCATTAAGCTGAGCTGTTGGAAGTGATTTGTGTACCTCAGTTTCTCATTTGGGACCTTTTTTTTTTTTTTTTGTAAAATAGTATTAAAGGAAGTGATTAATTATGAGAAATATTATTTATTAGCTTGGAAATACAGCTGCAAATAGCAATCAGTTACCTAATGTTCCTAATTAAATAGTCTGATAAACATAAGGAGACGTGTTAAGGGACTTAAAATTTTAAACCTAATGAAAGAATTTAGATACTTCAAATAACCTTGAAAGGGTGTGGTAGAGAGAGAACACTTCATTTTTCTGCCTGATGGAAAGAAAAGGCATTAAATGGTTGTTAAGGGTTAATGTATCCTTAAAGAACAGGCAGTGCCATGGATTGATCATAGCAAGTGCATTGTCAATATTTCCTTTGGAAATCTGTTTTTAGCAAAAGCTGATTTCTAGTCTGTTTAGCTTCCCACAGTATTTCTGTGAGTGCACATGCCTTGGTGAAAGGTGCTTTTTTCAGGTGCATCGATCAACTGTTAAAAAAATAAATAATTAAAGAATTCCTTCATAAAAGTCAATATTCCCACAGAACGTGTTTTGCTCATAGGCTTTCATTATCACCAGATATATTAAGTTTGTTTTAGCTTTCAGAACACAGGATTAAATTATTATTTAATGCCTGATGGAACGTATATAATGCAGGAAAACATAATTAAAAAACAAGGCAGGCAAGAGATTATTTACCCCCCCATCAAGCTGAGCACAATTCCTGTGTAGCTGATTTGTCTGCAGCCTGTGATTTGCACAACCCCACCAAGGCTGCCAAAGCTTTCGCTTTTTACTGCCACAAGTGCATTATTTTGGAGCATTTTATTTAATGTGCCTTTTGCAGTTTGAGATCAGCAGCAATATTGATTTCTGAAGCGTTCTATAGCGTGGTTTGTGTTAATGCATGTTTTGACACGTGGAACTGTTCTAATATACTTCGCTTTGAAATGTAAAAACAAACAAACAAAAGTATTCAAAACTGTTTTTATTTCTTTGTTTATTTCACATCTCTTTGTTTACTGTGTCTTGTTTGGGATTTATTGCTTTGCACTTCATCCAGAACACCTTGGACAGCATGCAGGTATTTTAGGGCATAAATTCTCCTTTCCCTGTCCTGAGTCCTGCACCTTTCCCTTTAAACTGAGTCCGATAGCCCTGCCCAACCTTGCATGAGGTGCGTGCTGGAACCATTGTTATGCAAGCATGCTTTGCAATTTTTTTTTTTTTTTTTTTTTTTTTGGCCAAATACCAAATCATCAAAATCAGGACTTTTTTCCACGAGAAATTAACCTTGGCATGATTCGATGAGAACTCAGATCCTGGTTTTGAAAGTCAAATTTCTTACGAGCATGCCCAGTAGGAATGGTTTGGTAGTTTATTCAGCACTGTAAACTTTCTGACTGCGTGGATTTTGTCTGAATTCAGATTGTTTCTTTGTTAATACAGAGACAATTTTATGTGGTATTTTCACCTGGGGTCGATTTGAACCACCCAGTGAAAACTATTGTTGCTACAAACTGATAAACTATGAAATAATATCCCCATAGCAGAACACGTGAGTTAATTACTGGTCTGAATTCAAACCTGTCCACTTGGAAAGTTGCTCATCATCTTCCCTGTCTCGTGTGAACAGTGTCTGTCTCGTAATGGATGAAGTCTGCTTCATTTTCTGTTCAAGAAGCCATTTTAACTTTAGAAGCATTTTTAACTATGAGATCGTATGAGAAGCTTGGCGAGCGCCAAGTGACAGACATTCAATCTGTCTGCAGCAGAGAATGTCTCTTCATACAACCACTGCTATAGGCAGAGCCAGTTTTAGGGAGGTCTGGTAGACTTGGCACCTCTGTGCCATCGTTATCAGGGCAGATTATCTGGGAGGAACCACAGCCCAGAACAAAACTCCAGATTTCTGGGGCTGTGAGCACACGCCTCGCTCTGCAGTGACGTCCATGGACACGTAGGTTTTCTCCAGTGAGGTGAGTCTGGCTGGCTGACAGCAAACCAAGCACATGCCTGAAGCCAAGAAACGAGGATGAGCAGGGGGATGCTTCCTGTTAGCTCCACTGAGGATCTTAGGGCCCTTCTTTCTTTGTATAGTACCAGCTTTGTGCTCACTTCTAACTCACAACCTTAAGCAGTAAAAGCGTTTCTCTTCTAGGTTTCAAACTGTCATGACAGAACAACTTGAAATTTCTACATACTCAGAAGAGAAGACAAAGAAGGCATATACTGAAATGCAAATGCTTTTAAAATTAATAAATAATAATACATTACTGTTTTTTCAAAAATATTTTTAAAATGGGCTTAGCATCTTGTTGAGGTTTGGATTGTGATGGTTTTTATTTTTCATTTTAAGCTAGAGTTTCCATAACTGCATGTGGAAAAATCAGTGCATATTCTTAGAGAGTAGAATAACTCATCCTTAAAAGAGGGGACCAAAAAACCCAGACCTGTTTACTTCTTTGTTTGCTTAATGTCCTTTTAAAATTGTGCATAGATATATCCATGCAGCAAAGGCTCACATTTCAGTCCCTCAAAACCACAACCAAGAGATGAAAGACTAAAAAAAACCCCAAGCATTTAATGTTTGTGTAAAACTCCCACAGTGTCTCTGCTTCTTATTGGGTTTTGTTTTATAATAGATCAGATGGATACCCTGAGACATCTTTAGCAGAAATAAATTAATTTGTGTTATGAATACAGAGAAATTTTATCTTTGAGATTCACTGTAGCTTTAAAAAAGTATTCGTTCTTGTTGGGTTTTAATACATAAATGTTAATTTAGCAATTCAGGAGGCTTCAGCTTAATAGCAGAGGATGGGCAAACCTCAGAAATAGGTACCTGAGTTGGAAGAGCACACAAAACTGACACTCAGATGTGTGTAGAAGTCACAAAGCTGTAGGATCTGTTTGCAGGTGTTCTTGGCAGTGATTTTTTTTTTTTTTTGCACTGCCAAAATACACGATGAGGAATTTCCCCTTTGGAAACCGGGGACGAAAGGAGAAATTACCTCAATGTTACAGGGTTACCACCAGGTTTCATTCTAAGTGTGGGTGAGATTTAGAGGGAGACCGTGGCGGGCCTGTTTATCCCAAATGGTTTGCCTGTCCTGGCTTCATCAAAATCTGCTGGATTCAGAGCTGTGATCCCAGTGACACGTCCGTGTCGTGTCTCGGTTGTGCAGGCCAAGGTCCGAGAGCTGGAGGAGAAATGCCGGACGCAGAGCGAGCAGTTTAACCTCCTGTCCAGAGAGCTGGAGAAGTTTCGGCAGCAGGCAGGGAAGATTGATCTCCTGAGCAGCAGCACGTTGGCATCCTCAGATATCTCTGGTTCTCCTGGTAAATCTCTATCCCAGTTAATGAATGGAATAGCCACTTCTATAGGCAAAGGTAAGGAGCAGCGTTCTGTTGGTGGGCGTCGGTTCTGCCCTGTGGGTTTTACGCTGCAACTCTTGTGATGTAAACAGAGTTTACTGCACAAATGGAGGGCAGAATCCACTCCTGTTCCCGTTTTGTGACCTGTTTGGATTTCAGAGTATCTCTTAGACCTTCACTGAGCTTGTTCCAGATTTATTTGGGCACTGCTGGGAGCAGAATTCTCTCTAATTGCTGTTGGGTGTAGTGATAAGCAACCAGTTCAGTGTTAAAATTGGGTGTTTCTTATGTAAAAAATATGCTTTCACTGTAGGAAGAAGGGCTGTCTGGACATACAGGCTTTGTTGTCAAACCTTCCCTGTTTCAGGGACACAGGGGTAGATCTGCTATCTTGTTGAAGTTGCAGTTCATGAGGAAAGAAAACACAGAGACCCACACACACTGTACTGGCCATTACATAAAAGGGAAGTGTAAATAGAGATGGGTAGAAAATGGGGAAACTGGAAGGACCATTTTGACAGACATGAAGATGGTTTGGGTTCAGTTTCATTTGTTCAACAGACGTGATGCACTTCTCCGTAAAAAAATTGAAAGTAAAACATTAAAAAAATTAAAATAGAAGCAAACACTGTCTACAAAACACAGATTCTGGTATAAAGTGATTTTGGTTGAAAATGAGTTTCATGGGATATATTTTAAGAGAACTGAGTGAGGATAATATCTGCAGCTGCTTGCTAAACTGTGCAAAGGTGTGTTTAAATTTTTAACTGTTTCAAATAGTGTTTAAATATCTAACTCCCAGTTGTTCTAGAAACAGAAGAGTCTCAACAAAAATATTGTTGATTTGAGTTTGAAAACAAATGGAGAACGTAAAGTTTTTTTAAAAAAATTTATTTGCATGTGTATTGTTGTTCTTACAGTGCCCAGTATAGTCACCAGTGTGTGTTTATCCAAGATCTGTGTTGAACTTTCACCAGGTCATCTCCTGTTGCCAGAGGCAACAGCTCTCCTAAGTGCAGAGCTTTGTAAACCATCCATTATTCATAAGAAAATTGCAAAGGTCAAGGCAAGGGGTTACCTGAGCACACTTGAAAATCACTTCCATGTAAATCCCGTGTTAGATTGTGTATTATGACAGTGTTATTCTCAAGGCTGAGGAGTGTCCTCAGCCAGCCCAGTGTCACCCGTGCTGGAATCGCTTCACTTGTTGTGCCAAAAAAACAGCTGTCTGTTAATTCCCATTGCTTACAAATTCACCAAAGGTTGTTTTAAAGTAAGTGTGAAAAAGGAACTGGAAATATGAAATAGTTTCAACTTTTTTACCTAAGCTTCTAGAAAAACTCTGAGGAGCAGGGCCTAGGGATCACAAATCATTTCCCTGCTGCTACAGATGAGCAGTGATTTTCAGTGAAGGGTGCTAAATTCGATGTGAAACCAAGTCAGAAGGAACCAAGGTGACATCCCTCTTTCATTTCAGTTCAGTAACTCTGTATTTTTCTATGCCTTGGGTTCTTGAGCACAAAATTGGAGCTGTTGGCAGCCCTGCCCACTGTGGTGCATGTTAATTCATAGGCTTTTCTGGAGCTGCAAGTTGTACCCAAGTTGGATATCCAAGTGCAGTAAATGGAGAATTCTGAAGGCATTTCCTGATAGCCATGAGAATTTAGCAGAAATTTCCTTAATACCAGCAGCATTAGCTCTTCATGTCTCTAAGGACAGGATTTTCAAAGCAACAATTAATTTTAAAGAAAAGGTAGTTAGGTGTTGAAATGTCCTTCAGGCAGCTAGTGAAGGTCCAGCCTGTATCACTGCAGTTGGTTTAAGCAAGCCCCCATCCTCACATGAAAATCACCTAAATTTTTTAAGGTGCTCAGTCAGACTCTCCAAACTAATAAAATACCAACGGAAAAACCTCTTTTAAAAGCCTTCAAAACACACCAAACAGAAATATTCCATGTAATCCTTGAGTAAAGGCACAGCTGAAGGCATTTAAAGACTGTAAATCTTTTCCCATAACCTTTTGATTTTTCTGTGACTAAGAATTGAGGGCCTGCAGCACTAGTGAATAAACATCAGAAATCCCTGGGCAACATTCAGGCTCAGTATGAATGCACTGATAACAATAAAGTGATGTTTGAGCAAGTGGGCAGGATTTCTAATTATTGAAATCAGCCCTTCCACAATAATGATGGTAATGTACAGCAAGTTCTTCAAACCAGAAGTGTAATTATTTTTATTATGTGTGAGGAAGAAAGAACACAAGAGGGAACACAGGGACAGCTTTCAGAGCAAAGCAAATGACGGAAATGAGATCAGTTTATGACCAGCTGCTTTGCCTTAATTGGTGATGTTTGAATGTATCAGGAAATGAAATAAACCTAGCCAGAATGGATTAGAGCATAAAAAGTTCACTTTAAACATATAATCGTGTCACAATCAGATACAGAAACCTGAAGATTTATTATTCATCAGATAAGAGGCTCGTTTAAATGGTCTGCCTAGGTAATTTAGGTAGTCCATATGGAAGCAGCAGTTGCAATAAATAAAACGGAGAGTCTAATTGTAATGCAAGCATGGGCAGCTTTAATTCTCCTGAAACATTTAATCAGGTCCAGTGATCTTCTTTTTCCCTTGAAAGGGTGTTCTTCAGACTTCCTTAACAGATATTTGCTAGGCATGGTAAAATAAAGGCCACATTGAGCATATATGGATTTCCAGAAGACTTTATGGACAAAAAACCTGTGGCTTTATAAGGTTCTTTTCTAGTATTTAGAGGAAAAAAAAGAGACATTTCTAGATGCTGATGCATTTTCTTATGAGCTGAGCTCTTGTATTTTCAGTTTTAAAATGTGGTTTTTCCAGAGGGCAGATATGAAAGGAAAGGTGTTTCATTTGGGTTTGTTTTTTTTTTTTTTTTTTGCTTAGTTTGCAGTTAACAAGCTTTAAAACACTCTGTAGGTCTCATTCCTCCACAGTCTGTTACCCAAGCCCAGGGATATCAGGCAGCCTTTTTTTGTGTGTATCCTGCATTCACAATCTGCAGGAATAACCCTCCTCTGTAGAAATGACCAGGAGATGACAGAGATTCAGGAGGTTTCAGGAGGAATGTGCTCTGTGAGCTGTGGATCCCAGTTTTGGGGTTTTTTGCAAAGGCATTACTTGATGATGCTTGTGTTTATTTTAAATCCAACTGTGGCTCTACGTACATAGAATCAACATGAATTTGCATATATTATTTAAGTGTCTCATGACCTTTTAAAGAGGCTCCTCTCCAGAATACACAGGAATTAACTGCTAAAGTTATATGATAAGGCTGACATGAAAATCAGTTCTTTCCAGTTTATTGCAGATATTAGAAGACCTTGAAAATGCAATAATTTTTAAACTGCTTTAAGAAATAATAACACAGATCAATATCTTCCAGTGTCCTGATTCTCCTGCAGTTCTTGTAATGCCTGTTCTATCCTAGTTATCCTGTATGTATTCAAAGCAAGGGCTAGACTGTCCTAGAATTCTTTCTCCACATTTGGTATGTTGTGCAACTAATTTAAAAAACAAAGCCTGAAGAATCCAGGAGGTATGAGACCAAACAGCAGTTTCCTTTGAATGAATAATCACAGTTGGCCCAATTATTTATAGGCTTGGCGCTGACAGGCTGATATGGCAAGAACATTAACAGCAAACAGAAGGAGCTAAATTGGCTAAAGGTTTTTGAACAGGGATGACTTTTTTGTTATATATGTGAGAAAGGTTCCAAGAATAAAAAATGTGCCCTTTTCCAGCCTGGGGATTGCTGTAAGCGGGGCTGGGTGTAATTAATCTTTTGTGTGGTGAGTTGTACATTACCCTGCTGTCAATGGGCTTAAGCTGTCCTGCTGTAAATTACGGTGATGCAGAGAAAATTAATCATAATGGACTAATGAGAACACCAGAAAAACCCTCTGATGATATTCTTGGAACTTATTCTCCTCTGCAGTTTAAATAAAGAGGCTCCACTGATAATTCCTGGTGACGTGGTCTGGGAAGCTGCAATTCAGTAGCAAAGCATTGCTGTCCAGACTTCTGGCAGAGCAGGAGGAGGAACTGCTGAACCTACACATTTTCAGGGGCTGAAAAATTAGAGCACAGGCTCATTATGTTAATGGCAAGGAGAATTCACTCTGCATATCTGAATGTGTCAGCAAGGACTGTGCCTGGCTTTAGCTCCTGCTCGTGCTGCAGGTATAACTTGAGCTCAGTTTACAATTTCCTGCTGTCCTGTGGTTTGGGGACTAAACTAACAGTAATAGGGAAAAAATGGAGAAGTATTTTAGGTAGCACTTCATTAGTCCATCTTGCAACTTTGATGACATTGTTCTTTTTAATTGTCTCCCCTCACCTCTAGGCCTGATTTTCACCTGAGTCAGTGGGAGATGAGAGTGATCAGCCTCTTGCAAGGCTGCCTCCTTGGGTTATTCAACGTGCAGTATACGCTGCCCTTTTTATGCTTTTTAAAAACTGTTTTTAAAAGCACAACAGAAATATTCCAAAAGGATTTTATGAAGATTTTTCCTTTTTCGTAGCCCAAGTCTTCCATTTTTTAGAAACTGGAGAGATGGAACTGGGATCAAATTACTTGTTTTAGTGCTGGTGCTAGAGAGGAGCTCTCACAAAGTATGAAGCAGGTGCTCTTGGCACTTACTGCCTGACAAGAGTCAAACCACTTCACTTCAAAATGAATTTCCTGCCAATTAAATCATTAGCATTTCAGTCACTTTCTTAGAAGACGAACGTATGACTTGGTTCTACTTTCCTGTATTTGACAGAGTCCCCAAAAGAAATAAAGATTCTAACAGCAGCTTGTTAGGGCTGGGTATGTTCCACAGCATGCCAGAGAACTTCTCCATACATGTGAAGGTGCTCAGAATGAAGGTGGCCTTTTTTTCCATAAGGAAAAATGTAACTTTGAATTTTTTGGAGTTAAAATACCTTCTACATTATGTTTTGTTGCATATGGCTGTGATTTATGAGATTTTACAAAGAGACTGGGAACTATGTAGGCAGAGCTGTTTGTGTTCTGCAGTCTACCTACTGTAGTCTTTTTCTGGAAGGATTTTTAACAGGAGAAGAAAATAACTCACTGCTGCTGATCAGTTGGCAGTGTTTCTGCTGGAGGGTAATTCCTTATTCTCGTGTGTGTTTTGTTCACTGCCAGTTCATGAAAGTCCTTCTGGAAGTCGCTGTGTGATTTCAGAGTTTATACGACCCCTCCAAATATCTGGAGACAAACCAGAACAACTGTCTGTCAAACCTACATTCCTGTCCAAGTCAAGATCTGGTACCCCAAGATGCAGATTTGATTCAGACGTGAGTCCTTTTAAATTTCTTACTGGAAATGTGTGCTAGAGGGGCCAAGACTCCTCTGCTCCAGGGGGCTGATGCAGATTGATCCACCTGCTTTTGGAAAGTCAAGACGTGAATGTTCTCATTTTCTGAGACAGCTTGAGAACACGATCAGTGGGGATGGAACTGATATTTTCAAAGAAGGACTGATATCCTGGTTGCACAACATAAAAAATAGGTGTGTGAGCACCTTGAGCTTCCCTGAAAGCCCCAACCTTCAGTGATGCAGGCAGAGCGTGTCACTGCCTCTGTGCATGAGGTGGAAATCAGCACTTCAGTGCCTGGGTTGGTGCAGGTCTGTGTTATGCAGGTTTACTAGGGGGTTTATTATATCTAACAAGAAGTTTGACTTTGATCCAGCCTGGGCAAATGGAAGAGAAATTCCATGTGCAGTGCCCTGGCCAGGCAGGGATGCTCTGACAGAAAAGCAGCTCCTTCTGCAGGACTCGTCCTTTGCCTGGTGTTCAGGATGTGAGAATCCTCTCACTGCCTTCCCAAAAGCCTTTCCAGCCTTTCCAGCACTCCCTTAAACCCATCCTGAGCCTGTAAAATGGAAGTGGAAGTTGCAGGATGTTGTCACCGAAGTCTTCCACCATTCAACTTTATATCTGGGGTTTAATTGTACTTTTGAAAGGTTCTGTTCCTCCTTTCTTGGAAAGGTTTTCTGCTTTTCAGGAGGATTCTGGTAGAAATCCAGTGGGAAGCTCAGAAGAGCTTTTCGAAGCTGCCATAGCAAGTTTTTTGTTAATATTTAGGAGAAATGTTACATATACAAAAAGGCATAGGACAAATTTTGAAAACTTTATAGAAGGGTATAATTTTCTATTAAATACTAAAAGGTCTGTTTTGTGTGGGCAGACACCCATGAGGAAATGATCTTTAGATTTTACCCCTCACTTTGTAGTCTGGAATCCCTTCCTTAATCTTTAAAGGAGTAAATAAATTGCAACTGTGTGCATATTTTCTGTCTATGTTATGTAAATTCATTGCTATTGAACCTGTGGAAGTTGACAGAAACAAAATGTTTCTAAATGGATCACAAGCCTGAGTATTGTGTAGGATACTCAACAAAATATTAGATTCTTGTACAGTAGGAATTCCATGGGCATATCCGAGGATTATCCACAAAAAATATTTGTGTATATTTGTGTAGCAGCATTGCTGAAAAGTGGAAACATTCACTGCTTTTAGAAGAGGCCACAGACAAAGTAGTCAAAGCAGAAAAAAGCAGCTTAGCAAGGAGACTTAGGGAAGCAGAACTAACAGCAAGGAACAGAAACAGCACACGTCAAATTTAATTCCCTTTTTCTATTATTTTTGAGTTATCTCTCACTGAGAATGTCAAGCCCTCTTTTGGAGAATTGTACGTTTTGTGCCTTCTAGAGTGTAATTATGTGATACACACTTACATTATGCAAGCTCACAGAAATTAAGCTCCATTCCTTTTCAGAGATATCCGGACCTAAGGGAGAGTGTATGAATAAAATCTAAAAATGGAGCAATAATGCTGGGAAGTCTGAAATAAATAAATAAATAAATAAATAAATAAATAAATAAATAAATAAACAAACAAACAAACCTGCAAAAAATATATATTTGAAACTGCCCTGGTTGTCACAAAGGCTTCTAGAATAACCATTCTTGGTTGAGTTATGCACCATATAAAGGTGCCAGGGTGATATCCCTTGCAAATGTGCATACATCCCTAAATTCTACACAGGGGAAATGCCTGTTCTGTGACTATTACTGTGCTCCTCACTGGGGTCAGGTGTTGGCAGAATAGTGTGTGCTGGGCTAACCCACCTCTTGAGATTTAATTCACAGGAGAAGTGACTGAACTCAGCATTTTTCTGGTGTGCTGTTGACAGGGACCAGTTTAGAGCTGAAAGTTGCAGTTCAGTATTCACTCTGTTTAGATGGTAAAATTTCAGTCAATTTTCAGACAGTTTATGTTATTTGATCCCACTGTTTACCTGGCATTTCTACTTTAATTAAAGGTCTCTCAAGCACTGGGAAAAAGTTGGTCATTTTTTCTGAAATGGCTCGCAGCGTACTGTAAAATAAGTGGAAGGTAGTTTGTCTCTCACTTTAAAAACTCTGCTAGGCTCAAAGCATATGAGAAAGAATTACTGTTTTAGCAGTGAGACACCTGGTGCAGAGATAAAATAGGCAGAGTCTATGTTGATTCAGCACCACAATTTAATCTCTGGGTTTTGTAGACCAGATTTGTAATGGAATAAATGTGTGGCTTTGCAGATTTGAGTTAAATATGATGGTAAATTCCTAGCTCTAAACTCAGCATTTGTCTTAAGTGCTTAGTCACTGCTATCAATATTAAATTAACCAGTTGTGTTCCATGTTGGAATTTAATTATTGTTTCTTCTCAATGTTGCATGTTCACTGTCTGATTTATATCACCTGTCAGGAAAACTGTTCATGCAGCTCTTTGTAATAACATTATCTTTTTTTTTTTTTCTTTTCTTCTTCCCCCTCTACAGATGGATAATGATCAGAATTCCAATACCTCAAAGCAGAGATATTCTGGGAAAGTCCATCTTTGCATTGCCCGTTATAGGTAAAACCCCCATCTCATTACATGTATAATACACAGTTGTGATATTCAGCATTAGGTTTTCCCTCACTTTATTCACACACTGAATTATTACATGGAATCAATGTTATGGATAACAGTCCCCTTTACTGCTTGCACTGACTGCAAAATAGTGCCACATCCATGTGCTTGAAGTGTCAGAGGGAGCTGAACATGACATGATTCTCTTACCCACCAGTACATATTCCAGTGTCTAAATGACATGAAATTGGTACCTCCTGCTTTACAGAGTATGTCTCAATCTGCTCTTATAAATTCCTTTCTCCAGCAGGAAAAGATTTAAAAGCCCTTCGCATCTTTGCTTTGCACTTGAAAATGTCAGATATAAAGTACTGTCGTGATAAAAATTTCGGGGACTAACAATTTCTTTCAGGATGGATATGGATTTAAATACTTTAGAAATAGCTTTTTGTCTCTCAGTAGCTTCCTTATCTGAAACTCACTGGTTCTTTTTTTTTTTACCTTGGCTTCATAGAAATTAATAAACTTGTGTAAAAGACACATAAAACAAATGGAATGTGGGGACTGGAAAAGACCCCCTCAACTGATTTTTTTTTTCATTAATTTAAAAAAACCCCAACCCTTAGAGCTGTCCACCTTCCCTGATCCCCTGTACTCCCTGCAGTTACAACCCTTTCGATGGACCAAACGAAAATCCAGAGGCAGAGCTCCCTCTTACGGCAGGAAAGTACCTGTACGTGTACGGAGATATGGATGAAGATGGTTTCTATGAAGGTATATTTTTTTTATTTACTTTTCAGTCTGTGAATTCATGCTAATTCATGCAGATTGAAATCAGTCCGTCTGTCAAATGCGCTCCAAATCCTTCCCTTCGTCTACCGCTAAATCAGTTGCTAAAATTACCCCTTATCATCGCTCTGTTAATTAACAGAGTTTCTGCACCAGCAAAGCCTCTCCTTGCAGGCAAAGCTAATTATAAGGTATTTTATGGTGTCAGCTTTTCCTACTGGCGAGATGAAAGTTGACAGGAAGGCTTGCTGGCAGTTCTGGTGTTTCCCTTTACGTTCTCGAGCTGTGGATGTTGTTTACGTACGGTTTGCACTCCTGCCTTCCTCCTTGCCTTGTCCCCTCTCAAAGGCATTGACATGAAGGAGGTGCTCTCCTCCAAGGATTTTAATGGCATTGCTCTTTCTCGCCAGGAGAACTTCTGGATGGACAAAGAGGACTAGTCCCTTCAAATTTTGTGGATTTTGTTCAAGACAACGAGACCCGGTTATCGAGCACATTAAGCAGCGAACAAGATCAGAATTTTATCAACCACTCGGGTCCCACTTTGGAAGGAGATCTCTTGGAGATAAGTCCACCAAGCCACATAGACTCCAGTGTGGTCAGCAACGGCGCGGGGACTCTGGATGTGAACATTGACGAAATTGGAGAAGACATTGTGCCTTATCCTAGAAAAATCACCCTTATTAAACAACTAGCCAAAAGTGTCATTGTGGGCTGGGAGCCACCGGTAGTGCCACCCGGCTGGGGAACCATCAGCAGCTACAACGTTCTGGTCGACAAGGAGATCCGGATGAACGTCGCCTTGGGGAGCAGAACCAAAGCTCTCATAGAAAAGCTCAACATTTCTGCCTGTACCTACAGAATATCCATCCAGAGCATCACCAACAAGGGGAACTCCGACGAGCTGCAGTGCACTCTGTTGGTCGGGAAGGATGTCATAGTGGCCCCCTCTAATCTGAAAGTGGACAATATAACCCAGATTTCTGCTGAGCTGTCCTGGCTCCCTACAAACAGTAATTACAGTCATGTCATCTTCCTTAATGAAGAAGAGTTTGACATTGTCAAGGCTGCTAGCTACAAGTACCATTTTTTTAATTTGAAGCCCAATATGGCCTACAAGGTGAAGGTCATGGCCAAGCCCCATCAGATGCCCTGGCAGCTTCCCTTGGAGCAACGAGAAAAAAAGGAAGCCTTTGTGGAGTTTTCTACGTTGCCAGCAGGTTTGATATTGTTCCCCCTACCCCAAAACTCTCCAGTTAAGTTTCGCTGAAAATACTAGATAAAATAACCTCACCTTTGGCTTTCTGCTCTAATCCCTGTCACTTTTGTCAGCAGACTGGGGATTATTAGATTGCTTTATGCTATTTGAAATTAATTCTTGTCCTGCATTATTGTCTTCTTTGTTCCTGGGTTCCAGATGCCTTTTTGGGAGATAAACTCCAGATCATCATCTCAGATAACATGCTAAGTGTTTTATCAGATTAATCTCCATTTGTATTTCATTTGTCCAGTTATCATATCTCTAGTAGTAATTTATTTTCATTGGTGTGAAGAACACGGGGGGAAAAAACAGTTTTCTCTTCTGACATGTTATTGTTTTTGTTATTTGTGTGTCTTCAAGCACTTTTTACAGACATTTTCTCTCATGAAAAACAAGGCAAACCTCTTGGAGGACCACAGAGTCATTTAGGGGGTGTAAATGCATTTTGGTTGTGAAGTTGTAATCACACTGTACAATTTGAATCTGTTAAAGTCAACAAATCCATTTTGGTTTGGAAAGTCTGAGGGTTTTTTTCCCACTCTGGCTTTTACATTAGGAATGGTGATAAATGTTGTCAGTCATTTATTTCCCAGTGTTTAAGAACATTGAAATTGAAAACTAGAGCAGAAAGAATGTAGTGAATTAAAGGATAATCTCATGATTTTTTTGGTATATGACAATATACCTGAAAAAAAATTGAAGGTGTGTCTTTATAGACTCACCTACCCAAGGTCATCTAATCAAGGAGGAGACTCCTTACACATTCAGTGTTTCAGATCCCTGAGTGCCTCTGGAGCAGGGACAGACAGGTACAAGTGGCTCCTGGCGAGTGGGATGTCAGCAGCATGTACTGAGCTGTGGTTACTTCACTGCCTGCTGGGATTTGATTCCAGCAAAGGGGCAGGAATTAATTCTGGTCTCTTCCTTGGCTTGTGTGACTTTTATGTGAGGAGACAGGCAGGACAGCCATGCTGGCTGAGCAGAGAGGGACCTTAAGCTCCTGTGTCTCCTCTTTTTGATGCTGTTGATTTATAGCTTCAGTAAGAATGTCCCCAGCTCACACTTTCACTCTTTTGTCTGGCATCACAGCAGTGAGGTAAGTGGTGGTGCAGTTGTAGAACCTGCTGGGAAGGGGGGCATTTCCAACCTGGGATGTGTTCTGGGCGAGCTGGGAGGCACTGCCTGGATGGGGGCTTGAACTTGTTAGATTTGTCAACTTCTTTACTGTTGGGGAAAGGCCTTTTTTGTGAGGTTTGTTCCAGGCCAAACACTGAATGTGCTGTATCTCCCTCTAGTTGCTGGAGCATGCTAAGCACTGCCTGAGCTGTTCTTCATTGCACAGAGAGCATTTTTACAGAAGCATGTCAACTTTTCACTGTTTTATAGCAAAATAAAATAACTACTGTTGAAGTGATTAGGGGCTTATACCTGTATTTCAGAAGTTATTGGAACAAAGGGAAAGGATCCCATGAAATCAGTCAGGGATGGGAGTTACCATAATGTGTGGCATGGGTTTGTCTTGAAAATATTGCTGGCTTTGAGTAATTACATCTTTCTTCTTTCAAACCACAGTTAAAAGAAAGATATTAAGTGACTAATGCTGGTTTTTCTCTCAGACTGGATTGGTTTTTTCCTCCTTAAATATACCTTCAGTGCTCATTTTATTTTATTTGAAGCTGAGAAGCTCTGGCCTTTACTAGTGGGTTGGGTGATATCCTTACAGAGAAGGATATCATCAGCCACTTATCCCAAAAAAGGAATGGGGATCAGGGAATACTTCAATATTTTCACACTGTACGAAAATCAGGGGTTTTTTGGGAGTACATTAAGCAAAAATGACCTTGAGGTAACTGCTCCCATTTCAAAGCTAGAAAAGTGCAAGGACAATTAGGGGTCACCTTTTCATTTTTCTCCTTGCATTAATATATCATGTTTTGCATGATTTATACTGAAAACACATTGCTTCCTGTCAGACCAAAGCTGAGTGACAGCTGACCAATTGATTCATCAAAGCATTGAAATTTGATTTTCTTGATTCATCAAAGCATTGGAATTGCTTAAATTAAAATGGAAGTAGTTTGTCTCTTGGAAACTCAGATCCAAAAATAGAAATAAGTACAGGATCAGGACCCATGGGACTGTCACTGGTTTTGTGCTAATTTATGTAAAAAACCCCACGAGGGCCAAACAAACATTTGTGTTGATGGCCAAGACCATCACAAGTCATCAAGAATAATTTCCCATTTAATGATGGGGGAAAATAGAAACCATGCTAAGCCTTGGGCATCACCCTTTGTTAAACCTGTCCCTGCCACAGCCTCTGAAGGTCGAGACATACTCCCTGGGGATTGTTTGGTTGTGGGAGAATGGAAAGAAGGTGACTTCTGCTGCAGGAGCAGATTAATGTCATTGTCATTGACAAGATACTGGGTTGGATCAGATGCATTCTTTCCTGTAAGCTCAGCAGCCCTGCTGGATTGGGAATGCTGGCTGTCAGTAAAATAGGACGGTTAAGAAAGCTGAAATTCAATCCTAGACCAAACTCTGTCTTGGCCAAAAATAGTAATAGGTCAATTTACATACTTTGGACTTTCAAGTTAAATATATGTTGTAGATGCAGGGGATGGTATAAGCAAAAATTTCCTGTTGTGCCTGTACTGTCCTGAACATGACCATGATTTATTTCCATGCCCTCTGGAGAACAAAATTCAGTGACAGCAAACTGGTGAAATGCACTGGCAATTTGCCAGCAAACTGGCTGAGACCTGTGTGGTATTTACGCTTGTGTCATCCACACAGTTGAAATATTTGTGGCCTTTTTGGTAGCTGAACAGGAACTGGTTGTGCTTAGTTCACTGGGAAAAGCAAACTCAAGGTTTGTATTCTCCTGGCTGTTCTGCAGGGATTGCTGAACCCTCCTTCTGAGATGTTTTAACATGAGCCATTTCTCAGGGTTTGGCTGTTAAATTAGCACAACAGGATGCTTGAAAAATTTATGAACTAATAATCTCTATGGTATTTTTACTTTGCCTTTCTGGCCACAGTAGAACTATTTTTAGTAGGGTAATGTCTTTTAATTAAGGATGTATTTGGTGTGCTATTACACTAACATACTGTAAGTGCCTTAAGAGGTTAGTGGATGCATTTTTTTCTTCACTGCAGAGGAAAGACTGTGAGACCAGTTGTCCTTTAACCAGCGTGCTGCTGGTGGAAGATGTTGATGTTCCAGCTTGCAGTTCACATTGCACTGTGCTTCTGGCCCTTAAACTGTAACTTAGAGCCCCTGATGATCCAGAGAGACAGAATTTGAAAGTGATTTCTGAGTGTGTAGTGTGCATTCAGTGCAGACATATATCCCAAGAAGTCATTTGCTGTCACTTGCAGCAGTTTTCCGCTAACAGTGCCAATCCTGGGCCTTTTCCTCTCTCTGTTTTTCTGTCAACACGTCCTGCATTCAGACCATCAGTTACGCAGCCTGGAGGGTTAAAAACAGATCCAGAGCAAGGTGCAAGTACAGAGCATCTTGCAAAGGAACACAGTTCAGTTAGTGGTTGTAAGGTGGGAGTCAGATCCTGCTCCGTGACCTGCTCAGCCCGTGCTTCTGGTTTTCCATAACAGCTGCAACAGGGATATTTTGGCTTCTTAAAAAAAAGGTGCTTTGAGATCTGTAGTTTCCAGCAGCAGTGACCTGTCCCATCTTCCTCAGGTCCTCCAGCTCCACCTCAAGATGTCGTTGTCCGGGCTGGGTCCACGCCAGGGACCATCCAGGTGTCCTGGAAGCCCCCGACTCTGACGGCCACGGGGACGTCCCACGGCGCCAACGTCACAGGTTACGGTGTTTATGCGAGAGGGCAACGGGTGAGTTACAGACACCACCTGCTTTAGGGGAATTCCAGCCCACAGGTAAAGGCAGCAAGGAAGATGTGACAGCCCCTTGGGTGCCTGCAGGGGGTTCTCAGCTTTCTGTAGACTCCGTTCTTTTGTTCATGCACAAGCAGCTCATGAGCTCCCTTTCCAGAGACACTTGGCAATAGTTCACTCCATGTCAAGGCTTTGAAGGTTGTCCTTTAGCGGGGCTGAGGGGAGGGAGGCAGGTGTATTCATGCTCCTGAGTTGTTTGTTTGTGCTCTCAGGTGGCAGAGGTGATCTTCCCAACAGCAGAGAACACGCCGGTGGAGCTGCTGAGACTGAGGAGTTTGGAAGCAAGGGAAGTCACTGTTCGAACGCTCTCTGCACAAGGGGAATCAGTGGACTCTTCTGTTGCTGCCATTCCACCTGACCTCCTGGTGCCTCCAACCCCTCACCCCAGAACTGCTCCCAAATCTAAGCCATTAGCAAGTGCCGGAGCCCCAGAAACCAAAGAAGAACATTTAGGCCCACATTTAAAAAGGGATGAGTCGTGGGAGCAGACTCGTTCGGCATCCCCTGTCCATGGACACACACTTGAGCCCCCCAACTTCCACAGCCACGGGAGGAGGTCTCCATCTCCCAACCGGATACTCCCTCAGCCCCAAGGCACCCCCATCCCCAACACCGTCGCGAAGGCCATGGCAAGAGAAGCTGCACAAAGGGTCGCAGAGAGCAATAGGGTAAAGGCAGACTTCTTTCTCAAGGCTTTTTCTGGGGGCTGGTGTTACTGATTGTGGCGCTTCCCATCGAAAGATTTTTTTTTTCATCACGTGCTTTAGGGAGCAGATAATTCGTTCCTGAGCTCTGAGGGTCCCTGGTTTGAGATGAAGCAGCGTGCTGAAGTTCTGTGCGTGTAAAGCACTGTTAAGTCTGCCGTGGATCCACAGGCACTTTGACATGTTTGCCCTTCTCAGTGCTGCATTTTCACAGATATTCACAACTCCTTTCAGTGCAGCTCCTCTTGCAGCTGCTAAACAGCATCACTGCCCAAAGGACACTGCCTGGTTTGGACACCACTGTGACCCATGGCTGCTGCAGTGACTCAGATGTTTGCTAGTTAATTTAAATCCCATATTTGAGGCTCAAGGGTCAGTACAGCTGATATCTGTGCATCCTGACAACATGCTCTGGTTTTTCTACCCAAGTATGTGATATTTAAATACTCCCAGTGCCCTGGGCAGTTACTTTCTCATCACAAGCTGCTCACAACTGTCTGTTACTTTTTGCAAGCTGTGGTGCCACTTATTTCATACACCCTCGTGGTCCTCCATCTGGCAGTCATCACTTATGTCCAGTTTTCGGTCTCCCATCATATCTCCAAAATAGCTCCATTAATTTTGACAGTTCACACATGTCTTAACAGCCCCAACTTATTGACTGTCCCTGTTTTGAGCCAGTGGGTGAACTGAGCCAGCTTTTGAGAACTTGAATAATTCTGGATCAATAAGGTCTGATAAATACATATGTATGCATGTGTGTGTATCTTCCTTTTGTTTATAAATAAAGAAAACTGGAATAAATGTAGCAGAGGGAGAAAACTTGTTTCTTGGGCTCTCTGAGGTGAAAGTTTTTTAAGAACCATATAGGGAAAGACAACAGAAATACTTTTTCTAGTTTGGAAAATGCTGACATAACAAATACTCTGAACCGTGTTTAATTACATTAATTTAAGTGATGCTTGAAATGTTTAATTCAGGAATATGGACAGAAGTTTACAGATGAATTCATTCTAAATTAAATCAGATTCTACCAGTGATACTTGTCAAGTTTAGTCCCCTGTAGTAGAAGTTCTTACCCTGTGGTAAGCTGCTGCAGAAAATGTGTGCCTTCTCTCTGCCCTCACCCAGCCTGGTAGGTGGCTGAGGGTTATTGTCAGGAGAGTAAGCAGCAGGAATTAGTCACTGAGGCCAGGAGTCACCTCAGAGCAGAGGAAGAGCCCAGAGTCTCATTCTAAAGCTTTTTCTGTGCTGAGGTCACCACTGACTCTCTGCCAAGGGGAAATCAGTGTCTTTTTTAGCAGCCTCTGACTGTAGAATACTGAGAATTTTGACACAAGTGGTTCAAGGGAAAAAGCAGATGAGTTGATGATCACAGAGAGTCATGTAATTGGTGATGAGCCACAGTAATATGATAAGCAAAAAAAATTCTTGAACACTCCTTAAAGGTTCCAGTCAGGGGAAACCAACACTGCTTTAACCATGAGTACATTTAAATGGGGTGTGCTTGAGTTCTTATATTTGCCATTTCTTCCCTGGTGGCAGGGTGGAGTCTGCTTCACAATTTTCCATTTCTTGTTGCCTTGCTAGATGGAGAGGAGGAGCGTGTTCAGCGACAGGAGCAGTGCCCAGTACGCCAACTCTGATGAGGAGGAGGATGGCTATGATTCCCCCCATGTCAAAAGAAGGGGAGCTTCAGTGGATGATTTCCTAAAAGGGTCAGAGCTTGGAAAGCAAGTAAGTAGCCTGGTTTTGTCGTTGTGTCAGGTGTTTGACATAAAACAAGCACTTCCTGAAGCTCAGCAGGCTGTCCTGGTCACCTCCTGATTGTTGTGGTTGTGTTGGTAAACTGCACAGACAGGCAGGAATTCCTGGGGAGGGAGATGTGTGTCCTGTTGCTGCAGCCTGACACTGCCTAATGGGAGCTGAATGCACCAGGCATCTCCAGACCATCAGCCCAAGCAGCGGGTTTGAGCACTGGAAACTGAAACAAATGAAGATGGAAAAGCTGAAGTAGAAAATGTGACTGGACTGTCATGTTTGGGTTCTGGGTTTTTCAGTGTGGTGTCACTGCAGCATATGAAAACGTGCTGTGGGAAAAGGGAATGTGGGAAGAATTTATGTGTTCCGTAAAAGCCACAACCTGTAATCTAATAATTACAGAAACCCAAAATCCTGTATACTTGGCATGCTGTAAGGAATGGAAAGATGTTGCCAGAAGAATTTTGCACAACTGCACAGCTTTCAGTTTGATCCCACTGAAAACAAATGTAAAATAATTTATTACACTACTGTCAAGAGAAATGTAAATTCTAGAAAGAAGATATTTTCTTATGTCTTGGCATAGTCAAATAAGCTTTTTAGCCCAAATATCTGACCTCCCGTGTTGAAGGGTCCAATCAACACCATTCCTTCTTGTGCCAGTTCTGAGATGTTCTGGAATTTTGGGTCTGTTTATTATAGATGTTCAGGAAGTTACAAATGTATGAACAGTGCCCCAGATTTCCAGTGTTATGGCCAGTCTATTCCTACAACGTTTAAGAGAATTAAAGCTTCAAATGTCATCAGCTACCTGTATCATGCCATGGTGGTAACACCCTGCAAGGATTAAATGCTGATCACTTTTAAATTATAATGTGATGTAAGAAACAGCTGTGAAGAACAGATGATATGTGAATTATCCTAGGGCTTTTACAATTTGGTCAGCAAGTCCACTGATGCATGAAGGACCTCTTTAAATCAAGGGAATTTAATGAAGACTAAAACCAGATTTGGTACTGTGAGTGGAGATATCCTTTTTTGTATCACCTGGGATTAAGATTGGATTTCTTGAATTAGGACCATAAATGGCCAAAACAAACTTCATAAAGGATTTCTCCAGCAGAACAGAGCAGCAAGGCACGGGGTGTCATTTGTATGGGGTTATCAGCGTGACATCCAAACCTGGGAAACGCTCTGGTCCCCAGTGGTGTTATCCAGGGATTCTCAGCTCCACAGGCAGTAAAGATCTTTTCCTCTCTCACCTTGTGAACCAGCCTCACTATTGCCACGGGGAGGAGTACCACACAGAGAGCAGCAGGGGCTCGGACTTGTCTGACATCATGGAGGAAGATGAGGAAGAGCTGTACTCGGAAATGCAGCTGGAGGACGGAGGGAGGCGGCGGGTCAGTGTGACCTCACACAACGCGCTCAAGGTAAGTGTGGCTGCAGGGAATCTCCCCTCAAAGCACTTCTTGTAGTCAGTTATGGGTTTTGCAGACCATTAAAACTCACGCTGTCCTGTAGACCTAGAACTGGGCGGCTTTAATGCAGTTATTCCTTTTTATTCTTCATTGTTGGATAGCTAATCTTTTAACTAATTGACTGTTTTCCTACATGTAGTTGTTGCAGTTGCAGTTTCTGTTCTACACCTGGGGACCTCTCCCATGTCTATATGAGGATGTGCTGCATGTGCTACCCAGAGAATGAGTTGTTTCTGAGCAAGGAGATGTATACCAAATTATGTACATATCAAAAAAAAAACCAACAATGTGTGTTTTTCATGTCTGAGTGATTTGTCCCCCTTTCCAGTGCTAGTCCCGTCTCTTCACAGGCTCTAAAGCATTCTTGTAAGAAAGGGAGTTGGATTAGCTTTGTTTGATCAATGCATTATCAGAAATCCTTGTGCTCTGGTGGTTATTAAGTCATCACCAGAGGGATATAAAGAGTCTCCAGAGACAGTAGGAAATACCCATCAGAAATATTGCCTTAACACTACACAGGAATATTCATCACGAAAGACAACTTTGTTGTAACAATTAAAGCATAAGTAGAATATTGAACCTACCCAATGCCAAAAATATAGTTCCCATATTATATTTGTACATGTAAATTGTATTTGTGTTTTTATGTGTGTAGTAATTACACAAATTGTGTTTTCTTAGAAAGCACAAACCAACAGGCCAACTTTTTTTCAAGATACTGTTGTTTAACTAAAATCAAAGCTATTTTCTCTTGCATACAAGCATTTTGACCATTCTTGTAACTGCTTTCATGTGCTGTAAATTCAGTCTTTTTATTCTGATACTATCTGGAATGAGACAGGTATTTTTTCAAAAGAAGAAATAATCAGCATTTCCATTGTTCTGCTAACATAAAGGTTGAAAGTGAAATCCTTCTGCATGCTGCTTCTGTCCCTCTCCTCTGGGAAAAAGAGAATTGTCTCTAGACTGTTCTTGTTCTTTATGCATCAGAAGGTACATTTACTTGTTGGTTTTAAATTAGTACTGCCAGTGCTGATATTTAGAAAGAAAGGGCCAAAACCATAAGTGTTACAGTAAATAATTTTAGACTGTTAAAGTTTACAGGTGTGCTTCTCTTGATGCAGCATTGAATCAAAACCGTCAATATTCATTTTGATTTTTTTTTCCCAGTTATATGGCAGCTTTTCTTCTTTCACAAGTGTGATACACATTTTAAAAAGGAATGAAAGTAGGTGAAATAGTCATAAGAAAGTTCCTAATGCCTGAAAGGGGGCAACACCCAAGACTCAGTTAAGTTTAACATGCCCAGAGAGAGAGGTACTGCTGAAATCTCCAGGATGATCCTGTCATTTATGGGTGCTGTTGTGCTCCCTGATTGGGCATTAAGTACAAGGAGAGGTGATCTCTGTGGGGTAGAATCAACAAAGCCTGTCAGTCCAAACCAACACCTCCTGCATTGTATTCTCTTGTCTCTTCTCAGAGTCCAGCAAAGACACTCATAAGGATTCATCGGTCAGACCAACCCGTGTTTTGTGTAAATGGAACCAGAAAAATTACAAAAATATGTCTGTCATGTTCAGAATGCTTCTTTTACCCAGGCTGGGATAGTTTTTACCTGCTTCTGGTGCAAACAGAGACTCTTACTTACTTCTGCTAATTGGTTGATTTTCAAATATTGGTTTTTGTCAAGCAGGTGCAAGATTATGATGAGAGATTTGGTGACGGTGCAGACCAAGTGACATCAGAGAGCTTCCTGCTTCTCAGGGGTCTTTCTGTGCAAGCCAAGCTTTAAAAATGGTGCAGGTCTTTTAGAATTTTAGAAAGGCAGCTAGAACTCCCTTAATGATGTCTGCAAAATAGCTCTTCCCTGACAGAAGATTTAAGATATTTGCTGCTTACATAGGATGCTTTAACAGATGCAAAGCAAGAAAGCTTGCTAGAGCAGAATTGTCCTTCTCAGATATGGGTTCTGGTTACAAAGAAAAATTAAATAGCAATTTGGCATGGTGCAAGGAATGTGTTCTAATGCCATTCTCATTCACCATGCTGGAACCTGTATGGCTTTTACTGCTTTGATTTAAATGCATGAGTTTATTCTCGTTAAGAGCATCACTCAGTTGTTTGTACTGACCTCTCATGTTGTATCTGACACCCAGCAACTTCTTAATCATGTCTTTATTTTTTCACAGATTCTCATTCAAAGCATGACGTCCTTTTCACTAAATAAGCTGCATGTCTTATGTTTGCCATTGCTCTAAAACTAATTCTGTCTTTATTTTTCTTTTCTTCTCCCTTTTCCCTCCCATTTTACTTTTGTCACACACTATTTGTTCCCTGTCTGGTTTTTAACATTACATACTCTTAAGGATAAGACCACTGAAGCCACTTTTTTGGAACAGCCTGACTTTTCACAGCAGATACACCACAGTAAAAAGCTTTTCAGTATTCCAGAAGTAGCTGAAGAGGACGGGGAATACCCTGAACTGCTGTACAAGCAGGGTTTAGGTATGCCCTATAAAAAGAACCCCAGAATAGCTAGAGACTCTAGACCACCTAGGCCCTACAATCAAGACCAGCAGCACAACCTCTGGTACCCAGCCAAGCACAGGATCTCAGGCGCGGAGGATTTTGGCGCCGACGACAGAGGATGCAAGTACAGCCGGTCCCTCTCCAGGAGCCCAGACAGCGGGCTGGACTGTGGCAGCGAAGAGGAGGAGTCTCGTTTCAGTTTCAGATCCACGTGTGACGCGGTCTGTGCCAACGTGGCCCCTCGCTGCTCCTGCAGGAAGAGCGCGAGGCCGCTGCTGGCCCGCAGGAAAACCCTGACCAGGCAAACCAGCATCGAGGAAGATTTCGGTGACCTGGGGCCTTCCTTTGCAGAGCCCAGGAGCGAACAGGCCAAGCCCGGTTATGAGAGGAAGTATGACATCCAGAAATGTAATAGGACAGATAATTTCCCTAATGAAGATGTTCAGGGAGGCTGGAAGACCGACTTTAAGCTGGCTGACTCTAGGGCAGCTGGGCCACTTGCAAAGCCATCCCACAGAGATGCAGAAGACTCTCTGGTGTGTGAAGTAAATCTTCCTTCTAACATCTGCTTGCCAAATCAGTCTGTTTTCTTTAGTTAACTAATTTTTGTTCTTTTTTATTCTTTCTTTTTTTCCCCTGAATTAATTTTTAGAGTCCATCCTTTGGACCCATCTGCTACATTTCCCCCCCCCCCCTTTTTTTTTCCTCCTCATTCATTTTTGTTTATTATTCTGCATTTTCCTTTATAGTCCTCTTTTGTGTCATGCTGAAATCAGATTAATTTGCTTTACAATGATTTTCCCACAAACCAAATTACAATAATGGCTGCTTTTATTAAAGGACAACTGAATCTAAATTTTAATTAAGGGTTAGCTGAACTATAATTTTTCCAAAAGATTGTTTTTCTTTATTTTGCCCATCTGAATGTTGCTTTAAAAAAAAAAAAAAAAGGGAAAAAAAAAAAAAAAGCTGCATTCTAACTGGAAAAATATTTCATCAGTAATTTTTTTAATTTTTTTTTTTATTACTGTCAAGTAATTCATTTCATTGTGTTGTTTTTATTCATCCCATTCCCCAGAATTTTCAGGATATGCTCTTTATCATGGAACATCTCTGGACCAGAACCAAGATTCTCCCGCAGTGTGACAGTGACCCAGATTTCTGGAGTCACAGTTTCATCATATTTTCATTTGCTGCCTTATATCTCTGCACTGTCACCACTTTGCCGTCCTTTTTAGACCATCTCTTCTTGCCTTTGAAGTTGCAGACTGCATCTCTGCGTGAGAATGCAGGCAGACAGCTTCTTCCAGAGGGAGAGGCCAGGGCCATTCCATATCTTCCAAGGATACCTCTGCGTGATCTTGCCTATTTGCATTTCTGTCCATTAATCTGTAGAAGAGTCTCCATGTGTGATAGGTGCATCCATAGGCTTCCCTGCTCCCTAAAGACCAAAAAAAAAGCGAGTTCTTTACCCTCCCAGCCTGCAACAGCCCAGAGTGGAAACCTCCCTTCTAACACACCTCATGTCAGAGTAGAGATCAGCTTGCCTGCTCTTCCAGCCTTAGCAATTCATGCTGAAACGATCCTGGCAAATTCCTCCCGTCAAAATTGGTGACCAAGCTGTGTTGGTCTCGGTGGCTGCTCGATAAACTCTGGAGAGCATTAAAATAGTGCCATTTGGTTAGACAGATAGCAGTGTTTTTCTGCAGGGGTAGTGGACAGAGCCAGCTGTGACGTGGGAGGAAGTGTGTCTGCATTGTTGTCTACACCTTTCACTGACCTTTAAAAGGCTTTGGCAGCCGAAGGCCGCTCTAGAAACACAGTGTGCTCAAAGCCAGAAGGACCTACACTGGTTCCCGTGCTGCAAACTGGAGGAAGCTCTAGAGCTGGACACAAGCAAGGCCTTTGCAGTGCAGTCCAATCTCCACAGCTCACAACTGCTTGTACTACTCTCCAGGAGGTTAAAGCGTCACCTTAGCAGCAACAACAAAGGCAAAAGAATATTTCAAAAATTATTCTTTTCTTTTCTTTTTGTTCTGACGTGTGACTGCTGGTTACAAAACTCTGCCATAAATCAGGGAACCATTTTTTTTTCTTTTGCAGGTTTGCCAGGCAACAGTATTTACTTTTCAGCTAACCTTTCAGTTAAAAACTAAGTTTAGTTGCCTTTAGAGCTTATGCTTCCAAATGTGATTGACCTGATTAATGTCCAGCCATATGACCATGATGTTACCATGCATGGAACTTACAAACCTGTTTTTTCTGTTGTTGTTTCTGTTTTTGTTTTTGTTTTGTTTTGTTTTGTTTTGTTTTTTTATTTTAGCTTTTAGGTAATCCAGCATCTGCAGGACGGCCTGAAAGGGTGGAGCATGCAGGACGAAGGTCCTCTCATGGCAGTGCAGTGCCACAAAGGTCTCGGCCAATGTTGGTCCCTTCCATTGGTTAGTTGGACAGATTGGTGCATTTCTGTTCTTTGCAGCCTCAGAGTTTGGGAAGGCAATCCTTAAAAAAAAACTGAAACAACTGATGCTTGTCTTGAACCAGGCTATTCTTAATTTAAATGGGGTGAAGTGGGACTGAAAACATCTCCACGTAAATGAGTGCACTGGGGCCTCACAGGGGGCTGAATTAGTAGTCATTGACATCTCTGGGAGTCTTTTCATTAAATTTAGTGGGTATTGGAGCTTTTCTAAGCTTGGTTAAGCTTAGGTACTGTTAGATCTTACCTAAGAAGAAATTTGCTGGCAGGTTACTATGCAATCAGTAAAATAAATGTAGCCATCCAGCCATCCGTTCACCCATCCATCCTTCCATTCATCAACCGCCATTCTGCATTCACTTTCCATTGTCTTGACTACTTTTTGGAATTTAGCAGGGAAAATGGAAGCTTTTAAATGCAACAAGTTCATAGAACTTCCATAAATTTACTAAATTTGCTATTTCTTACAGAGTCATCTCTATTCTGCTTTAATTATTACTTAATCTGTAGGCTGGTGAATACCAGAAAATCCAAAAAGTAGTGGGGAAAAGATAATGGAATCAAGACACTGTGGACAAATATGTATCTGTTAAAACTTGCACTCTAAACTGAAAGAGGAGAAACATTCACATGGAAAATCAGGAAACACATTCAAAACAGATGCAGGAAGAGTTCTGTGAGTTATTCACAGGACTTTACTCCATGAAGATGTAAAGTTGATCTGTTTCCTGTCCCCAATCTGGACTTTAATTTTTTGAATACTGTAGACACCATGATGAGGAGAAGGAAGCAGTGTCAGGCAATTCTCACTGACTTGTATGGGGATAATTGACGTAACAAATGGGGATTGTCAGAAGGACAGAGACTGATCCTTAAGGAATGCTTTTATTTTTAAGTATTAAATATTTTTCCCTTGTCATAGAATCACACTGAAATGCCTGTACTGTAAATTAAAAGCAAAATCCTCCTAGTGGGCATATTTCTTTGGATATCTAGTGGATAGCAATTACTATTATTGAAACCAAGGATCAGAAACACACATGGGGCAAAATGCACGAAACTTACTCAGTCTCCTCAGTGTAGCTTGGCTGGTCAGAGGCTGATCTCATCCCACATCCCAGTGTAAACCATGATGAGCTTCACAGATGTCAGTGGAATTACACTGGAATAAAAATGGTATGGAGGAGAATCAGCTCCAGGGAGGCTCTTGTGCTTCTCTTGGCAGGTTATTGTGAGCTGAACCAAACAGCTTTTGCATGCTGCTGTGACAAATGTTAGATTTTCATCTCCTCTTTCTTTCCCTCTGAAAGCAGCCTTTATTTCATAGGAGTAAAGATTCCTGGGTTACCTCTGGACTACTTAAAGCAAATTTTGTATCTAAGGTCTTTGTTTTATCTGCTAAACCCCCCATTTTTAATAGCAAGACAGTAGAGAAGTTTGTGTGACTGAATCCTTTGGGTTTCCTTTTAATTTTCATTTTAATTAAAAACTGAGGGAAGTGATTAAATTTATCAGAGCTCACTTTCTGTAAACAAGGTTAGGACACAGAAACCACCAAGCAATGACTTTGCTGTTTAGTAGTTTAATAGCAACAGCTTAGGAATTTGATAAAGAAATTAATTTCTGATAGTCTGTGCTCAAGGAGATAATTAAATAGAAAATAATAACTCAGATTTTTGTTTCATTCAGTGTAACTTAAAGCATTAATTATTGTGATTTGTATTATTTATAATCCACAAATGCCCTTTGGGAAAATTCCATTAGAAAGAAATGACAATATTGTCTCTTGCTAGTAACAAGAAACTATTGAGCATTATGTACAGTAAATAACAAAAAAATATTATTTGCTGTGGAACTGTTGGAAGGCCTTTTGTGGTTTAGAGTTCCAGAGTCATAATTTCTGGCTAGAAGACTAGTGATTAAAGTTGCTGAAAGGTAAGCATGCAATATTTCTCTCTTTCAGCATCATACTGTAAAATACCACTTTGAGGAGAACTGAAGCAAGTTTAAACACTTGATAAAACTGCATGAAAGTTCCTTCCTGTAAACCTACTAGAAAAAAAAATCTAGAAGCTATGAGAAATATTGAGAGCTCAGATAAATAAAACGTAGTAAAAGTAGGGCATCCAAAAGTATGTGGTAAATGACTGTATAAACTTGAACCCACTGTTCTGATCTCCCACTGGCACAGAACATTTCCCCAGAGTAAGGGCTGCAAGGACGGTTTAGTTATAGCTGTGTCATTATAATTCCATAAAATGAAAAGCAGAGTAAAATAAAAGAAGTAAATATGATTGAGTCAAAGTTTAGGCTTCTTAAATAGATGAAACTTGTTGGCCTCAGCGATAGCTCAAAAATGTGAATTCCAAATTTGTCCGGGATTTTTATTTAGTTAAAGTGTCACTTAAGTGATGGAAAGTTCTTAAGGCAGTTCTGGGAGAAGTGGGAAAGACTTTCAAGATTGTAATGTTCTTAAGATTCCAGTAGCAAAATCTTTCTCCAAAATGTTCCATAATTTAAGTTCCTGGAGGTGTTTTCTCCATAAAGCTATACATTCTTTAGACTAGTATCTTCTTGCAGGTTAGGATTTAAGTGAATTAATTAATTTTTGTTTTTAGGTTGATACTTTAGAAGGTGAAACACAGTTTACAGTGCTCTTGACCTTGCAGATCTGGCAGGTAGGATTGTTTAAACCTCATAATAAAAGACGATTCGTATCCAAAGACCTAACAAATAATATTTACACTGTATGAATTTTAAAAAGCACGGAATCCAGATTCTTATTTCTGTGACCCCCCCCTACCCCCTGCTGAAGAGGATTTCTAGAGGCTGAGACACCTGGCAAAGCTTGTGCAGTGTTAGGAAGTGAGAAAACCAGGCAGGCCCAGCAGGAGCCTCCGCTGAGGCAGCTCTACAATCTGTTTTAATAGATCATTCCCTTTTTCTCCGTAGAAATTACAATGGACAGTAACAGTGAAGGCGCTCGGTCTCGGTCAGGTAGTGAGGGAAATATTTCACCCGTAAAAGAAGAAGCTTATTATGGCAGCATTGGACACAAGCAGTGGCCCCCGCAGCGTCCCATGGCCCCTCACTATGGACACGGTACGCCCACCCTTCTTCATCCTTTGTGCCAGGCACGGTTTAGAGCTGCGTGTTAACCATGTGTGACACCCTTGCATGCAATGCAGGATGCCAGGGGGGACTGGCTCTGAGTCCTGGGTGCCCTCAGGTAAGTTCCTCCAGCTCAGCTGCCAGGGACAGACAGCCCCCAGGGCTCCGTCCCGCTGCACAGCCCCTCTCCATACTCGACCAGTCCAAGCATTGCATGAACCCTGTGAAGCTGCGCTGCTCCCAGTGCCAGTCAGTGACTGTACACACCTGAGCCACCATCCATCCCAGCATCCCCCTGGATCCAGGCAGAGGGACAGGCACAAGCAGTGTGTCACAACCCAGTGTTCTGCAGTTAATTACAGGTACCAGACGTTATTCGTAGGCTAAAGGGAGGCTTGGGGTCTTTTCAGTGACCACACAGGACTTGGGCTGTGTCACCTGATGAAGACAACAATTATTCTTTGTGTTCTACTGCATTACATAAGTAAGTAAGGCAGTTTTACCCACTACTGATAGTATTTGTTGCTTCATCAGCATAGAAATCATTACAGGACCAACAACTCAGTTGTCCCAATTCATTAGACAGGGAATGAGGGAATTGAAGTGTGTGACACTGGACCCATAAAAGCAGCCCAGGCCATGGAGAGAGCTAAGAAACCCTCTCAGGTTTTAGTGATATCTGAAATGAAACAGAAGAGGCCCTGAAAGTTTAGGTAAATTGTAATTAAGTGCTGAGTTTCCAAGCAGACATCTCTGGGTGTATCAGTGTAGATCGAGTGAATTCAGTGCAGCTGTGGTTGCCACCGTGCACACCAGTTGGGAATCTGGCTGGATGCATCCAGAGACAAGACTGTACATGCACAGTGATGTGTGTGTGTGTGTGACATGCATTTGTACCTCCTGAAAGTATAAGATAAGTGGCTAATGAGCTAGTCAAGAGATTATTTGCTTTCTGGTTCACTGAGGCAAGCATGAGTATTCTGAGTATTCTGGCACAGGCCAGTGCTTTTAACAGAGATACATTTGGCTGTAATTCGTGTTTCCACCTTACCTTCATTAAGTGCAGCTGGAGTTGGATACAGAAATTGATATTTTTTAATTTAAAAACCAAAACAAAACACCCCTTAACCCACCTGGTTCCCATTGCCTGGTGGGCCTGAGTATCAGCCTCAGGATGGCTGCAACCTGACTGGGGGAGGAACAGAGAAGGATCCCATTCTTTGTGTCTCATTGCTTTCTGTCCCACATGTGCCCTTTTCCCACACTTCCTTTCTGTGCTTTGTGCCTGCCTAAAGCTTCTTGGCTGGAATTTTTCCCTGCCCTTTTGCTGTTCTGCATTTTATCCTTACTGACGTTCTTTCTTGAGCTCTGGACCCCACGAGGCAGGAGATGTTCCCTGAAAGCTGTGACCCTCTGAACATTCTGGTAGTTTACAATTATCAGATGTTGAATAAAATGCATGATGTAGAGGCAAAAGAGGGAAAAAGGTAAAAAGCATTTATCTAAAATGTTTCATATTGAATGTTCAAACTGTTAAAAAATAATGTGAGTCTTTAATTTGCAAGAGGTGATTACAGTAACAATTGTACTAACATGGAAATTGTTTGGAACAAATTGATACAGTTGAACTACATTATCATCATAATTCATAACATCACTTTCTTAATTTATTCATTGTGAAAAATCTTGTAAACAGGATGATAAATGTTGATTCAGCAAAGAACAAAGATACGTGACTCCCAGTGAAGCCAGAGAGACTTTTCAATAAGCCACGATATTCACAGGTGGCTTTTGATTTTGGGGGCTTTAATTTTTGGGACTTCATGTGTCTTGAAAGAGGCTGTTTGGGAGAGTGCTGCCACATCCTCTTTCAAACCAAAATTAAAAGCCTTTTAAACCCATCAGTCAGAACATTCACTGTCAGCCATTTCAACCTAATCTTCCAGTTTGATTTTCTGAAGTCCATCCTTAAGTATTTTGGTGAATCATGGACTAAACACATTTTCCAGGTCATTTGAAAAGTCTGAAAGATATATGGGACAAAATGTTCATTCTCATTTTTGATGTCCTAATTGATCTGTAACCCTGCAGTGGGCAGAGTTCAGCGCAGTGTCAAGTGCTGGGATATTCAAGGATGGTCTTTCCTAATGAGCTTATAGTTAAATCATCCTTTCTCCTGGATTTCAACACACCTTCTTAGTGGTTTGGGTTGGTTTGGGCACTGTGTTAACTATTGACAGCGTTGCAACAAAATCATAGGCAGTGTAGTTCCAACCCTGGCACTGCTGTAATACCATCCTTTTTCTCTGTCTGGAGAGGTTATAACCATGTTTTATTTTTAACCTGGTACCTGAAACATGGTTTGCCAACACAGCTGGCATGGGCTTTCTTGTGTCCATGAAGAGCAGAGCCAGCTGTGCTGGAAAACAAGTGGATCCAAAGCAGGGTTATTTTTGCAGGAATGAAAAAAGCCTGTCAGACCCATCATTATGTCACTCTTAACAAGCTTCATTAATTTATGGCAAACTCCAGTAAACCTGACAAAAATGGCTTTCCTACCTGAGCTGTATCCACAAGTGTAAATGTCAGTGTGGGGTAGGAGATAACACCACTTTCAGTGCATGCAGATTTTATATGCTTTTTAAAACAATACCAGTTTGCTAATTAAAAAAAAAAAAAAAACAACCCACCAAGCTTTATAGGACATACATTGAGGTTTGGGGATTTTTTTTCACTGAAATGCCAAACATGTTTCAAATATTAACTGGAATAGTTGAAAGATGAGGCCAACTTGTGTCACTGAACTGTTCTTTTCTGACTTCTTTAATTTCTCAGATGGCTACGGTGGGCATGACCATCTTTCTCCAGATCTTTATGAAGAATCCGAAACAGATCCTGGCACAGAAGATATTTCTACTCGAATATTTGTTGCACTCTTCGACTACGACCCACTGACCATGTCCCCGAATCCTGACGCCGCGGAGGAAGAGCTGCCCTTTAAAGAAGGACAGATCATAAAGGTGAGAGCTGAAAACAAAGGAAATCAGGGGTCCAGTTTTGCAAACAGGGTCTCCTTTGTCCCTCGTGTGACCGGAATCCAAGGGGTTTTTTTCCTCCAGAGGTTCAGGCTGGAAATCTCACTGGATCTGGAACCCAATACCTAGTGCTAATGGCTTAGAAATAATTACATGGTGGGCAAAAATCTCAAAGTTTCTGTAGATATTTATGGCCAGACTTAATTAGAGATTTAAGTGTTAAGACTGTAATTGTGACTGAAGCTCTCTGTGTCCATTGCCACAAACCCTGCAGGAAAAACTGCTCCAGAGAGGACTGCATTGCTGCAAAGGTCCCCCAGGAGCCTTGAGCGTCGTGCCTTCAATACAAACCAGAGCTGCTGTATTTTTTAAAATGCTGAACGCTCCTAGATAATAAACAATTTAGAATAATTCGAGTCCAGGAGTCAGGTATTCCTGTTCCCTTTTCTGTCAGTTTGGTGTAAAATACACACACTGCCTTTCACCAGGGCCCAGAGGACAAATTGGCTGTTCCAGGGCTTGGGCTCTGGCAGTGTTTTTCCCAGCCCTCCATCCCAGCTCGCCTCATCTTCTGACTGTGCAGCTGCAAGGCAAATTTTGTTCAGCTTTGCTGCTCTGGTTTTAAAAAGCCAGCAGATTTTTCTGTGGACTCAGCAGAAGTGAGTGTTTCCTCCTGCAGCCTTGCTTGCATGCATTTGATCTGGTGCAAAACAGGCAGAAATGAGAGAGGCAGAAGGAGCAGCTGCTGGTGGTGCAAGGGTGGTTGAGATTTAAGTGTGATCTGAAACAGAACCTGAAAAAAACAAAATAGACTCATTTGAATATTACCCATTTCAGACATAAAATTCTACCTTAAGCTGTTAAAATCCTGACTGCCTTCCACTGTGCTGAGTCTTAACACAAATGTCCGTACTCTAAATCACAATTTTTGTAATGTTGAGTACTTTGTTCTGTATATTGCTTACTTCTCCACCTGATAGAAGGTTTGTGCCAAAAAAATTGATCTTATTTAAGAGCTTATTTTCCTCCTCAAGAATGTGCATTTCACTGAGGTATTGTAATTATTTCTTCACAAATATTTACCTGTTTGGCACTGAAAAGTCTAGTGAGACCCCACATCATTTTTGTTTAGCACAGTCCTAGATCTAGGCCTTTGTATCATTAGTAGCCTTTATGACTCGACTGCATTTTTAGCACTTCAGAGAAATTTTGGATTTATATGTTCTCACTGTTGACATCCATGCTATTTTTATACCTTGTCTCATGTTTTCTTTAAAGACAACAGCAGAGCTTAAGCACATATATCAAGTATATTATGTATTAGATAGGCATTTTTGATCATATAAAAGTTGTTTGAATCAAAAGAATGACATTTTGGCACCATTTTGCAAATGTTTTATTTTTAATATAATTCCAGAATAATTCCATAAACATCAATGTAAACTATCAAGTAAACTTCTGGCTCAGCACAGGGAGAGACTGATGACTTTTAAGGCACATTTTGTGCATTTCACTGCTAACAAAAAAAAAAGTCAAAATTCTGCAAATTATGTCTCTGGAGTTATAATTCAAATAAATGTCACAATTCCAGTTTTATAACCTAAGTCAGAGTAGTCAAAAACTGATATAGTTCCACGTGTAACCACTTAGCCTGCATTAAAATTCCTATTTGCTAAAACCTTTGCTGACCAATATTATCACTCTCTGAATAACAGGTTTATGGGGACAAAGATGCCGATGGATTTTATCGTGGAGAAACCTGTACAAGAATTGGCCTTATCCCATGTAATATGGTCTCTGAGATCCAAGCAGATGATGAAGAGATGATGGATCAGCTTCTTAAACAAGGTTTTCTTCCTTTGAACACACCCATTGAGAAAATTGGTAAGGGAAAATATCAACATTTCACTTTTACTAATTTTTGGGTGCTATTAACTTGGCTGGATCTGCTGTACCTCTTGTTTTTTACTATATGCAGGTACTCTAAATGTTCCAGCCCTGGTAAGCTCTCATTCTTACAACCAAGAAGGATGAAAATTGCAGAGCTTTAGTTTTTCAACTAAAACTGTTCAGAGGGTTCAGTGGCTTAGAACAGAGGGGCAGATGAGTGTTAAATTTTATTTACGTGGTTTCACATCCTTTACCTGTGCTGGTAGGTTTGGTGTAATCTGTGACTTTTTATCACTGTGCTGGAGAAACTCCCACATTGCTGACACACCTGCTGGGAAAAGGACGTGAGGGAAAAGGTGCATCGTGGTTTTATTGTCAAAATAACTCTGACAGCTTTTCCTCCCCTTCCTCTCTCCCTGTGACTGGAACAGAGAGAAGCAGAAGGAGTGGCAGACAACAGCCAGTGACTACGAGAAGGATGGTGGCACTGTATGATTATGACCCAAGAGAAAGTTCTCCCAATGTGGATGTAGAGGTACGGCCAGAACCGTGCCCAACTCAGTCAGGACTGATGGGCACTGCTCTCCATTTAGGGTGGATGTGCAGAGAAACTGTTCAGGATTACAGACACAGGGCAAGTGGTTTGGAGCAGATGTGTATGACAAGCTCACGGCATCTGTACAGGTAGATTTCCAGTTCTCGTTCAAACAAAATCAAGGAATGTCCTCTGTAGGTTTTATTTAATACATTCTAAAGTCAGCTGTGGCTGTGGGTGTTACACAGTAAGTGTGTGTACCTGCAAATACAACAGAACTCTATAAGGAAAAAAGCAGTTAGTTATAAATGTAGGGAATTTTTATTTTCCGATTTCCTCTGTATGTTTGCATCCAAGAACATGATTATTTTTGGGAAGTACCCTAGCTCACTCTAACAAGCTGATAGTCCTGAGTGCTTTCAAAGCTCTGTAACCTCCAAAAATCCACCCTCCCCCACAACCTAAGCCAGAAGGATACAGCCCATGGGAACAGCATTCATAGCATATTTTATTTTTCTCTTAATTGATCTGAGCTTTCATGAATATATGTCTTGCATAGCTATCTCCTTTTTGTTATAATAATGTAAGGATATGTTCAACAGCTGAGCATTAGCCACATCTTCATTTAAAACCAGCTGAGCATCAACCACATTTCCATTATGGGTTTATCTTCCATGTACCCACTTGCAGTTTCCCATTTCTCCATAACTGGGACCAACAACAACAGAGTCACTTTTCACATGTTTTTGGTGTTACATGCAAGTACCTCAGTCCAGATTTGGTGCAGGTTCCATTTCTGTCTGCATTGTAGTAAGAATGTCAGGGCACACTGAAAACTCTAAAAAAACACTGCATACCTAGGAGCTTCCTCAGTTAGCCTTTAAAATATTTGGGGATTTTTTAATTGGTGAATTGTTTGGAATTTTTTTTTTTAAGCAGAAAGTGAATTTTGAAATATGTGGGTCTTGGTGCTTTAAAACACAGCCAGGGTTGTTTTCTGTTTCTTGCCACACCAAATCTGTTTCTAAATTATGGTGTTTCAAAGTAGTTTGGCCAACAAATCAAAGAAATTGTGCTGATATATTGCAAACATTTTGTTTGTTCTCTCTCCCATGACCACAGGAAATTAAATATAATTACTCCCCCCCACCCTTACATTGCATTTAAGCCACAGGCAATTAAAAAGAGCCCAGTGCACTCTCTGTTTGCTGATCAGAGAGCAGAGCTGCCCCTTACAAAGCCTTTATTGAAGAGAATCCAGAACAGCTCCACTGCAGGAGCATTGTTGTGCTTCAGGGGATGATCTCCAGAGCTCCCTTCCAACCCTAATCCTGTGATCCTGTGAAAAGCAGCTCCCTCAGCTGTTCCTGTACCCGTTAGTCCTGGTGCTCAGCTCAGAGCAGAGCAGGGACCTGAGCCACGTCCCACCCCAGTGTCCTGTTCCCTCCCCACACAAGGATTGATGAAGGGACCTTTGAAGTTGTTATGGTTCAAAGCTTCACAGTTTGCTCAGGTTGTTCAAGGCCTGAGTGTTGTTGTTCAAGGCTTGTTGGCCACAGGGAGTCCTGGGGGTGTTCAGAGCCCAGTGGGAGGGGGGTCAGGCTTAGCAAGCTGAGGGAAAAAATCCAGTGCATTAAAAGAAAAAAAAAAAAAATTGGTCTCTCTCTCTTTGCTCTCAAAGATAAATTTGGTTTCACCAACTGTGTCAACATGAAGGAGGGGGGGAAATATTGGTGGATTTACTATTGATAAAAGGTAATCTTTGCCTAACACCACCTGCCCTGTCCCTTCCCTGCAGGCCGAGCTGACATTCTGCACTGGGGACATTATCACCGTCTTCGGTGAGATTGATGAAGATGGATTTTACTATGTAAGTTGGCTTGGTCACTACAAACTGCTCCAACCTCCTGGAGCACCTTCACCAGCACCAATCACTGAATGACAGCCCAGGGGAGGGGGGTTCAGGTCATGTCCCAGTGACCTTAGATGGGCTTCTCCTCTTCCTCACCAGCTTTGCAACAGGCAAAAGTGTTTCCTTACCCAAATTTGCTTGAATTAAAACATGTCATGGTGTTGCAGGGTGAACTTAATGGACAAAAGGGGCTGGTTCCTTCCAACTTTCTTGAAGAAGTGCCTGATGATGTTGAAGTCTTTCTATCCGATGCACCCTCGCGCTACGTTCACGACACACCGACGCGTTCGAAAGCAAAAAGGGTAAGCAACCGCCTAAGAAAAACTTAAAATTCTTTTATTTTCCCATTCCATCCTGTCCCATCTATAATTTAGACGTCACTTTTGACATTTTAAATCCATCTGCCCATTTAAAATTAACTCTCTCAAATATATAAAATAAAACCTAAGGAGAAGTGACTCTCGCCTTCGCTGGCTCGTTACATTTGTAAATGGAGAAACTAAATTGACTGTTTGATTGCAGTCATCACAGTACCTGCCACTATAATGCGAATTTAAGCAGCTCTTCTCTAGTGATAGTTACTTCCTAAAGCTTCTAAACTGCTCTTACTACAAAAAGCTCTTGTGGACAAAAGATTGGTACCAGTGTTCCTCTAAATACAAACTGTAACTGCAGCTGATTGACTGACAGTGCTCGTCTTTTAATCCTTATGACTTCCTGTTCCAACTGGCATTAGTTAATTGCCCAGAGACTTCTCTTTTATGAAAGATTAACCATGTTTAGAGTATCTCATTTTTGGTTTTGTTTCATCACTGCAATACTTTTATATATTATATATTTTATATATATTTTTATTTCTTTGCTCATCTGCTTGGAAACAGAAGAAGAGTGTTCATTTCACACCTTAATAAGGCAATGTAGCCTTCACGTAAGTGAGCAACTGAAGATACCAATAGAGATTTCAATTAAAGCTACCTGGCTATCTAATGCAAGTCTTGAAACTTAATTGTGGGGGAAAAGGAAAGAAATATGTCTCCAAAACCCTTGGCCACAGAAGAGCAGGCTGTATGCTTTTGCTGCATCTAGTCAAGTCAATTGAGGTTTTTTTTAAGGAGACAAATCCTTTAAAAAGGAATCCTTGGAAGTCAATTAGACCTCACTTTATGAAGGTCAGCGTTTGGAACATATTTCTTCACGAGCTCAATGTTTATGTTTACATAGAAAGGAGAGTTTGATGTCTAACTACCCTACAAACAAAGCTGCATATTGCATTGTTAGCCAACCTGGGAGGTAAAAATTCCAAGCTCCTGTGTCAAGAGAAAAGCACAACAGCTCCAACCCTTACAGAACACCCAAGTGCAGCGTAAGCTGATGCACACGGTAGTTTACAAGGGTATAGTTGGTTTTGAAACTCATTACACTCAAACAGAGCTACTTAAATTGTCTGCCTTAAGATGTGTTTTCCATAATCGATTATACCCCAGCTTGCCTAAGACCAACTATTCAAACAATCCCTTCCTATGGTACAATTGACTGGGATTTTTTCCTAGAACGTGGACATTTGAAATATTTAGCAACTGTTTGGTTTACCAATGCAATAAAAGTCTCGACCTGAAACATGCAGCTCACTGAATGAATGCATTAGACTCAATATATGGTATCTTCAGGTGTACGTTGGGGTGCTTTACCAAGTTGTTTTGGTTTTGTTTTGTTTTTTTTTTTCCATTAGAATTAGACCTTGATTTAAAATCAAAGTCGGCTTGAAGCCCCTTTGCTTAACTCACTGTTGCACAACAAGCCAGTAAATTGCTGATGTTTTAACTCCAAGCTAACAGGACTCCCTCCAGCATGGATTCTACTATGAAAATATCATCTTAAGTGATAGTAACCCATCTTGCCAGCTGGGCACCATAGTTAGGATAGGCTGAGTATAAGCAATTTTAGCATTTTCATCCAAGTGCTTTTGATGACTGAAAAAAAAAAAAAATAGCTGTTCAAAATATTTAGGAATGCTGTCATTTAACAACCTCATAGCTGCAGCATACACATCAAGCAGTCAGGGTCTTTAAGCTTTCTTTGATTGCAATTAAGGTTCATTTTAGCTTTTTCTTTTTCCTTTTTCTTTCTTTCTTTTTATTTTTTTTTAAGCCAGTGTGCCATCTTCTCTAATCTGTACATAAAGTTTGCTAGCCAATTTTAAAGAAAAGGCATTTAAAGGACATTAAAAAGTAAGTGAACATGTAGCATTTTAAGTAATTTCTTCTGAAAAGAGTTTGGCTTCTATAGATTGTTGATCTGTAGTAATTAACACATTTATTTTTCTTAAATCTGTAGCTAAAAATATCCCTCTCCATTTTAGTACTATCAGAGTACTGAAATGCAAAACCAAAGCCACTTTTGAGGCTTTTGTGGCCAGAATTCTGGCATGACAAGTGTGTCCAACTTTTCCTTTAAAAAGGTATAACCAAACCAGGGCTCTATTGGCTGGTTTTCTACTGTTCTACAGTTCCCCCCACCTCTAAATTTATGAATTTTCCATAAGCCCAAGCAGTATTTTAAGCCACAGAGAAGAAAGGAACCAGCCCTTTCGCTTAAGTGGGTAAATGGGACAAAGTGATGTTACCAACTTTCTTGATGCTGACAGCTTTGAAGCTTTCAAACATTCAATAAATTATAACAATGTACCTAATAGGTTCCTCCTGAGAATACAGGTACATCCCGGAGAGCACCATCCCCCACAGTCCATCTCCATCCCGGGTCACCTCCGTCACCTGTGGGTTCTGGTAGTCCCGGGAGAGGCAGGGATATGTCCTCGAAAAAGAAAAAGGGGCTGCTTTCCAAAGGCAAGAAACTGCTGAAAAAGCTTGGTGCAGTGAAATGATTCATGTGCTCCTGGACAACTTGTAAAGCTTCCAGTCTGTGTATTTTAATTTTTTATTTAAAAAAAAAATTTTTTTTTTAAATCAAAACTAGGGCTTTCATGACTATGCAGTACAACTTTACCAAAACTTCTGCATTTTTAAACTCTGACATCAATAGAATCATGTGAATTGCTTAATCAAAACAGCAAGGAAAAAAAAAGGAAGTGGATATGTTGTTGCAAAAACTTTTAAAAAATAAATAAATAAATAAAAAATTTTGTGGGCTTAAGACCAGAAGAACATGGTTTTATTTGAAGTCAACTCACCACCTGCAACTCCTTTGGGAAAAATCTCAGCCTTTAGCCTCCTTTAACCACGAGTGGTGGGGAGAAAACTCTGGTCCTTGATTCCTAGTTCGGAGAGATCACCCCACTGCATCTAATCATTAACAAAAATGGTCTTGAAACTCCTAGTTTAATCAGCCTTGATGTTTTGCCTTATTAATGCACAATGATTTGTACTGTCTAATAAATATACAGCGTATACTTTGTATGTACTGTGTATTCAACTGTCTTCATCTTCCCTAAAACATGGTAATTTAAGATCAAGTACTATGTTACTGACTCCATTCACTGTCTGATGTAACTCCTGGGAGTTTGAAAGTGCTGTGCTAAATGCTTTTTTTTAATTATTTTTTTTTTAGTTTTTGCTTCTTTATTTCTTCTCCCCTCCCCAAAAACCAAAACCGCGTATTGATTTATTCTGACAACATTCTCACTCCACTGAAATCAGACACAGTGTAAGTTATTCAGAACCTCACCCAGTTTCAACCACTCAGCCTCCAGTTTTGGGGTTCCTGGTTTACTGTTCTAAGCTACTGGGGAAAAAAAAACCCAACAAAAAAATAACAAACCAACTCCACACCAAACCCCCTTTACTCCCCATTTTTTTTTGTCTGTGGAGGTCCAGTTCTAAGTTAAAAGGCATTTTCATATTGCTGATGTCAGATTCAGGATAAAGTACATGTTTTAAGTAAAAAGGACAAGCTGTGTTGCAGTCACAGGCCACAGCCAGTAACGAGGCTGCAAGAGGCTCTAATCAAATCTTAATTGTGATATTGGCATATCAAGACAAACAATCTTACACACTGATGGCAGTCATTGGCTGTTACTATTTTGTAATTCTTGTCCATTTGTAAATTGTTTTTACTGTTTATACATACTTTTCAGACTGCCTTTCTTTTTGTAATTTATGGAAGGTTTATAAATGAATGATCAAAGCTTCCCCATTGTGTCTTCAGATAATAATGTAAATTACTGTAAGATACTGTGTGCTAGATTACAACATTTAATTAAAGAAAATAACTGGCCTAAAGTTGTGGTAAAGTACCGTGTGGGTGTGTGCATGTGTACAATTGTTGTGTATTATATTTTCTATAAATAAATCATTTGATATTTTGTAGAGTGCAGTACGTTTCCTAAATCCACAGCTGCTTGGCTGCTGTGCCAGCCCCTGTCCCTCCCTCCTGGCCCAGGGAGGTGCCCAGGGAGCCACGGGCAAGCACAGGGCCATGGTGCAAGGCACCCCTTCCAACACTGCACCAAGGGGAGAAAGAACAGCCCCCAGTGACCACCTCCTGCCTTTCTGCAGCTGCACAAGGCCCTGCTCTGGTGACCTCAATTGATAAAAACCAGATCAGAATGAGTATCTGCAACAGGGGTAAATAAGTGGTGTGGAACCAGCAAGAAATACAAAATACTGAGTAGTGGACAGGGTAAGCTACCACTGTATGACACCAGAAACACCAAACTATTTGCTAAAAAAACTTTCTGCATCTCTTCACTACAAATTTCATGGGGAACAAGCCGGCAGAGTTCTCTCAGCCTAAGGAAAAAACTCAACTGAATACAAGTTACAGAACTCTCATTTTTTGGAATTGTCAATGGCTAATTTACTGTAGACTAAAGCAAGGCTCATCTACATGCAAGACTGAAGAGCTTTCCAGAGATAAAAAGGGGTTGTAAAGTTACTGTGGCAATTGTCACATCTGTGCCCAAAGCCCACTGTTGAAGCACATAAGCAAATACATAAACAAGCAAGGAATTACAGCAACAACTTTATTTAAGTCTTACAAAGAACAAGAACAAGCTTCACAACAACTTAGTTTGGAAAACCAGCACTAATCCAGATTTTTCCACGTGTGCTGTTTTGACTCTGGTATTAACTCTGAAATCTACTTCCCTCCACACAATTTTACGAACTGCTTTACAAACTGAGCTGCTGCTGCTCAACAGTTACTAAGGAAAACCTCAGACATGCAAAACAAACCACGGCCACTGCCCATTGATTGGAACTACAAAACCAAAAAAAAAAAAAAAACAAACCCTGATCCTGGTTCGTGCACTGACACTCAGATGGAAGTTATTTTCACATTTAACAAGCAGGTGGTTAAATAATATCAGCCCAGAAGTTTAATTCCTTTCAGTGATGACAGTGGGAGGAAATTGCTCTAGACAACTGCACAGTGCAGGAAAGGTGAAGTTACAAGACTAAGAAAAAGGACATCGACGGGATAGTCTGTTTTTCCTGGTTTGCAAATCCCTCCCAATGGCAGCCTTGAAACAAAGCCTCTTTTTGAGGTGTGAAACAGTTCACGAAACAGAATTTTGTCCTCATTTTAACAGGCAGGAAAAATAAGGAATCAACAGTTTTGAAGCATTTTGAAAACTAGGAGTGTAACATACTAGCTGAAGAAGTTTGGATTTTGTTCTGTATAACTCTCTCTCTTACTTGCTAGAAGTACTTTTGGGTAAGGCTTCCCAAAATAACAAAAATAAGTTTCATAACTACACATATTATCCCTCGTGCAGGTCTTTTTAAGAAAAAACAAAACTGAAAACCAAAACCTCAGACAATTCTGCATTCCTTGGAAAAGAACTACGCTATTTTATTTGGCTGATAACTTAACTTCAAAGATAGTAGAGTCTGTCTGAAAGCATCAGACTTGGTTCTCTGTGAATGCTCTGACCAACAAGGAAAGCCAGTTTATGAGCATACTGGCAAGGAGCAGGAACTCTGATAACACCCTGCAGAAGGAAAAAAAAAAAAAAAGGCAATTATTTTCAAGTAATTTAAATAAGCATGCATTCACTGTTAACAGACACCCCTGGAATTCCAAAGTACGCATGCACGTAAAGTTTATATTCCCTGTTGTTTATGTTGATTTCTGAAAATAACATCATATACACTGAACACAGAAGAAAACCCAAACTTCCCAACTCTATTCCTCTCCTCACTCCAAAAAACCTTTACACAGGTTTACATTCCATACTGGGTCTCACAGAAGGTGGGACACGGGTTAAGGAGGCATAATATTTAGGACTGTTAAATGTGAAGCACAGCTCAGGCACGAGCTGACTGTGTGCTCATCTTGGTATGCAACAGAAGCCTCAAGGGAAGTGGAGGAACATAATTCCACCTCCACATAAAGCAGGAAGTATTTCTGCAGGTAAGAAATAGTCACTATTCTGAAGTGACTGAAGAAATAGTCACTTCAAGTTTGCTTTTGACACAGAATTTGGGAACAATACTCAACAAGTATTTTCTACTGAGAATAAAGATTACTTTAATCTTCAGAGAGATCAGGTTAATGATAAAGCATCTAGTTCTCAAACCACCCCTCTGGGTCCCAAGGCACACCTGCAGGCATTTTGGATCTGCATGGGTGTTTGAAGGATACCTGTTTCCACCTTCTTGTGGGTTGTAACTGCACAGAGAAGCACGATCTTAGAAGAAAAATATTATCATTTCCCCGAGGAAACACTTACCGACCAGTTATAGTACATGTGGCAGAGTTTGTAGGTCAGCCTCTGCAAGTGATCTGGTTTCAGCTGGCTGCCATCATAAATGACATTGTAATGAGTGGGTGTGACACAACCATTTTTCACTGTGTGGCTCACAACGAAGAAATCGTACCTGTAAGAGGAAAAGTAAAGGCTGTTACAGAAAGGGCTGCTTTCCAGTAAGGACAGCTGGGCAATCCTGTCAATACACTCTCGTTCAGAACTAAATCTTTATCAAGAAACACTAGAAGTGAAACACACACACTTGAAATGTAATATTCTGATGTATACAAATAGTGCATAATACATTTGTAAAATGTAAGCTTGTCCACTTCTTTCATCTACAAATTCATTATGATTTCTTCCCAAAAGGACAGAAACATGGAAAGTATTTTTCTATTTGACCACACAGTCCATTTAATATATATTAATATATTTCCTTTATTATAAGGCTGCTGGCAAAAGGACTTAGTTTTACTTCTCCAGTAACTTACCACTCTGGTCTGGTAACCACTGTATCAACAACAGTACCAGGGGGTGGGTTTTTAAGTCCTCCACCAACCTCTGCAAAGAACCTGGCACCCACTCGTTTCTTCACAACGATCACAGTAAGTCTTGGACTAAAATAAAGGAAAAAAACACAAAACTATCATAAAAAACTGCACTAACAGTACTTCAGGAACAGATTCTCTAGACCCCAGGGCATTAATTACACAAAGAAGTCCTCATTAATTCATTGATTTAGATTAAATGACAGTTTTCATAAATTTGTATACTCTGATATTATTTCTCACCAATCTGATTTGTATTTAAACTTCATAGGGAGAGAGGAAAACAGGCCAAAAAGAGAGAATCTAAATACAGACCAGATTTCTACTCTCTACTCCATCATTTCATATGGAAAACACTGCCTTAATGGCTTGCTTTTTATCAAAAATGCTGTTAAAGAGAAACTAAAAGAGAAGAACTAAGCACCTCAATTCCTCTGAGCTGCAACTTGTTTGGGGCTCTGCTTGCCTGCAGTGTAAGGAAACATGTTCATGTTCATTTTTCAGAGCAGGTTAAGTCACTGCTGTTAAGTTTAAAAGCAGAATGTTGAAACCTGTGCAGAATATAAATGACTGGACAGACA